AAGCTGAAGGCAGCTATCAGCTCCAAAGATTAGGCTACTGCTAAACTGGCACATGTCCATCATTTACAAGCTGATACTAATCTTAGAGAAAAAGCGGGGTGGGGGTGGGGATTAACTGAAAGAGCTAGTGAAGTCCTTCTTTTGAGAAAGACAAATCTCTTCCTTCTGCAAATATAAATCTATGTTGTTTATTATCTTTTATACCACCCAATAGCCAAAGATCTTTGAGTTGTTCACCATTTTTTAAAACAATTTAAAAATATGAAATGCTGTATTCACATTTAAATGATTAAAATAGAAGTAAAATCTAGAGTAGGACATAACAGCAGTACAAAAAATAAATTTTAATTTTAATTCAGAATTTTAAAGCAGACTGGAACTAATATTTATGGGAAACTTCTTGGGAAAATAACATTTTCACCTGGCAACAGAAAGAGTAGGATGTAAGTGCTAGGTAAGCCAAGAAAGATCATTCCATAGCTGGGGTGCCACAGCAGAAAAGGCCCTCTTCTTAATAGTCACCCACCTGAAGGGGCACTCTCAGAAGTATGGCTTCTTGGACAATCTTAGAGTCTGAACAGGATTTATGTAAACAGGATTCTTAGGACATGCCAGGCTCAGGGAACTTGCACGTAACACAAAGCAGAAAATTGGTGAAACTGATCACACAAAACTCTGTGTATGGAAATATGCCATAGAAAGCTGTAACAGGAAAAATAACAGCAATGAAAATGCAACATACTTGCATGTCAGAGGGTGGTAAGAATCTTCTTCTTCTACTACTACTATTACTATGACGACAACGTGAGTTAAAAGTTTGCTTAGTAGCCATTTTCAAAGCAGAGATTAGAAACATGGGGATCAGTATGTCTGTGTGCTTCTCAACATATCCAGAATGTGTTTCCTCATCACATAGTAACTGTGTCAGTCCTGCTGATTACAGTTCTTGGTTGGCAGGACAGACTAGAGTTTTAGCATCTCTTTCTCTCTCTGACTTCAGTGTTACTATTGATAATTCCATACAGTGTAGTAAATACTTCACAACTGTTACTCAAACAATTCTGAGGTAGGATTGACTCTAAAATGTTGCCTGGTTAAAGTTTCATACAGGTCTTGCATGGTCAAATGAGGATTCAAACCCTGAGTCTTCTATATCCAGCACATCTAAAACCAAACATTTTATTTGCTGTACAAATATCTCTTGAGCACAGCTATCTTTGGGGCAGAAAGGGAAATACTATCAGCAAACAAAAATTATGCTTTTGCACATACTTTCAGTTCAATGAAGGAGCACCCAGCCCTAGCTTTTTGAAGTATAAAAGCAAAAAAACAAGAGAAATATTATTAGTGGTGACTAGGTGTTTAAGTCTCTTCCTAAAAATTGTATGTATTTGATAAGGCAGTTGAGTTGTAAAGAAAACCAGTTAAAAAGCCTTGGAAACATTACTGTATGACTTTCCCAAACCTGATAATTTATAGCTGCCTAAAACATTTGGGTCAGGTTAGGGATACAAAGTCAAAGCTGTCAAACCATTTAACCACAAGCCAAAAAGTTAAAAAAGACATTCTGAGAAAGTTTTCTAATTAATTTACATACAGCTGCAGACAAAGAGACTTGCTAAATTTTCATTTTATTTATATCCCACGTCATTCCTTGGTCTCTGAACTATAAACACATAGAAGAATGTTCCCAACTCTTTCAGATCCTCTCTCCCTGCTCTCTGCCTCACTCACATTGATGCAGAGAGGTGGCGGCAATGGTTATACATCTAGCAAGGAGGAGGAGCACATACACCTTTCCACCAGTCCATGGGCTTCTGGACAGTGACTGACACCAGTTTCTCCCTGACTTCTCCTTTTCAGGTGCAAGCAACCGATAGCCAAGCATTGCTCTCAATTCAGTAGCCTCTCTGCATGTGGTTGCATCTCAAGTATTCAACAGTGCATGTGACACCATAAGCGAAAAGCAACCACCAGCAACCAGGGTCATGCCACTGTGTATGCTTGTTATTTCTTTTTTACTTTTAAAAAAGGAAAGTGTTCTTGCTGGCTGTGCACTTCCTCCAGTTTGCTTAGCAATAGCTGGCACACACAGCCGATACAAGCATCTGGCTCTCTCTCTTTTTAAAGCAAAAGGGTCTTCTGATAATTCCTACAATACCAAACCATTCCGTGAATGTTCAATTTCGGGTATTTCTGTCCTGGTCAGCTCTGTGCTCCCTATTATACTAAGCTTGTACTGGAGCACTGACCTGCTGCCAGAATGGAGAGATCTTTTCTAACAGCTCCCCATTCCTCTGGCTGGAGGGCATTGCTGCAGGGGAGACACTGGATATGAAACCAAGGGGCAGTGCCCTGCACATGGAGGGTTTCCTTCTGCTTCCTGCTGTTGTGCAGAGCAGGGTGTTATTAGGAAGGGAGAGGGAGCTTGTGCTTTATGATTTTTTATTTTAAAGATGTTAAGATACATTGCCTTTGAAATTTGAAATACATTGTCTTTGAAATGCCATTATTTTAGTATTTTGTAATGAACTTTGTGAGCTGCCTTTTTCAGCTGGAAGGCAGCACAGGTAATGCTGTGTACATGCCCTCCCTCCTCCTTCCTCACAAGCTTGCTGCTCTCCATCACATGGGGACTGGATATCACACTCCAGGCATGACCATTATGGATTCATTTAATTGCACTTACTCAACCTTTCCCCCAGGGAGCTCAAGATGGCATACAATTTAATCCTTAAAACCGTGTGAGCTAGATAAGGGAGAGAGATATTTGACTGGTTCAGTGAGCTTCATAACTAAATCAGAATTTGGACCTGGAGATACCCAATTTTAGATCAACACTCATTTGATAATCTGGAAATATCCCCCCTCTTGAGCTCCTGAGTGGTGCAGGAGTAAGCAATGTTATAGTAGTCTCCATCCGTTACTCATCCTTCAGTAATCCACATGGCAAGTTAAGGGTAGCAGGCTTTACAAACATTTTCATGAGCATACAAGAAACCTCACCTTGCAAAATATGCATTCATCATCCACAAATACTGAATGACTGGAAAGGGCTACAGTGAACCAGCAAAGCCAAGCACAAGGATAGCATATTTACTTTTGAAAGCAAATTAATCTTGTCCCAAATATTTGTCAATCTTCTCAGTGCTTTTGCTTTGTTGGTCAGAATACTGGAAGCTGTGTACAGGCTAAATATTTACAGATAACAGCTAGATAGAACATTGCCTCATGTTTTTCATTATATCCCTGTAAAGCCTTTCTTCTTGAGTTTAAAATAGAGAAAGAACAATGGAATACCCAAAATTGAGCCAACGTCTTTGCAGTCCTCCCCCTCACGCAACTAAACCATGAATTAGTCCAAAATCATACAAATGTTCAAGTATTATAATTGACAATCTCTGTAACCACTTGATTGCATTATATTAACAAATCGACTCTCCCTTCCCTTAAATGGCACCAGACTTCCTCCAGCTGGTGGCAAACTTCTCTCACCACTTGCAACTGCCTGGATGTTGTTCCATATTACCCACGACTAGACTTGATACTTGTTCATGTTACTTGTGCCAGTCTGATGTTGTACCTATGTTGCCATCTTTTCCTTCAATATCCCATCCTGCTCCTTGCTGGTTCCTTAAGTCAGTGGATGGCAATGAGGACATGTTACTTTGCCATGTCATTTTAGAAAGCACAGCTAAGTGGTGGTACAAATGCCTTTTTAAATCAGAGAGGGGGGAGAAAACCCCAGTAAATCAGTCTGAGAAAGCTTTTCCATCAACAATGTCAGTTTAACTGAGAAAGAAAGGATATATGTTAAGTTGCTCCTGCTGATGGAATTGGGCATGTGAAGGATGGGTCAAAAGAGAGGGAGGAGAGGTTAAGGTGTCACACTGAACTGGACTGAAAAAATGATGAATAAAGATCTAAAATGCAATTGAGAGAGAATTTATCTGCTCACACATGTCCTAAAAAGCAAGGAAATGTGGCATGAGGCAAGTTAGCAAGGGAACTGGGGATTTACCTTCCTTCACTGCCAACAATCTGGAAACCAGATGTGAACATATTTAAACTGTTTTTCTGGGTTTTTTTTTACTAATGAATACCAACACCAGAAAGAGACTTAAAATGCATTAATTCTATCTTAGGTTCCATATCTATACCTCAAACTAGCATTGGACATCTTTTTTAGTTCTTAGGTGTACACTGTCATAAGATCCATAGCTGATGAAGATGATGATTCAACTACAGGATGAAGAGGAGATGCCTTTGGTTGACTTAGGAGTCAGGTGTATACAGCAAGAGTGGCTTCCTCAAAAATCAAGGCCCCAAGTCCTTTTAAGGCTTTAAGTATCATTGCTAGCATCATGAAATTCAGTGTTATGTTTAAATTCTGTTCCTGACAGCAATCTAACTGCTATATTCTGCACTAGCTATAGCTTATATGGCAGCCCACATAACAGTAATCCAAAAAGGAATTGTCAGTGTATAAATTACCGTAGCTTGGCTATTCTTGTCCAGGAATGGTCGTAGCTTGTAAGCCAACTGAAGATACTCAAAAACACTCCAAGCCTCCAAGGCTAGCTCAGCTTCCAGTAACAAAGATGAATCTAGACCTCCCAGGCTACAGCCTGTTCCTTGAGAGAGCATGCAGCCCCATCCAGAACAGGTCACTTGCTCAGTTTCTAGACTTGAGAATTACAAATCTAGAGAGCTTCATCTTGAACTCAGTTCCAGTTTTTTGGCCTTCATCCAGCCCACTATAGTATCCAGACATCAGTCCAGCACCTGCATAGCCCCACCTGACTCTGAAAGCAAGGCAAAATGGCAAAACATGCAAACTGGAGGGATGTCCAAGATGAAATGCCATCCACTTCTGTGCCACAAATGGATCCCTTTGTTCACATTTCATACTGACCACACTGCCCTGTCAAAATGCATGAGATAGAAAAGCTGTCTTAAAATCTTTTGCTAATGAATAATATAGACACATAAGGCATATGTAGAGGGTTTAAAGTGCACACTTTTATTTTCTATTACAAAGGCTAAAAGAAGCAAATCTGTCTGGTTAAGAACAATAATGTTGTTAGAACATCTACATTATTATCTTGGTTACTAGACCTTGTGAAAGGTATTATATCTTTGTAATAGTAAAGCGTGGTATTCTTAAAATATATTAATACAAAGACATTTTGAAGGACTCTCCAACTTATTAAAAGTCCAGGCTTAGAAACAGAGCATTCCCCTTCAGTGGAATTCTCCTTCCCTTTCCTCTGTAACTACATTTCTTAGGGACTGCCTTCCCTGAAGGCCTAGCTGACCAGCATCTCATTCAAATATATCCTTCCCTAGGCTCAGAGGGTTTGGGAGAGGAGTCCTATCTGCTTTTTTTTAATCTTATACAGTGATTAAAACCATTCTTTTCTCTTAAATAAAGGACATTGTCAAAATTTTCAGAGCACAGTTTATATTTATAAATACATACATCCAAATTACCTAATTTAATTGCCATTATCAAATATGTCTGCTTTATGAATAACTTTCCCTTACTAGCTTGTTTATTCTAGTTAACCAAATGCTTTTTTCCCACTTAGTTCTCCTGGAGTATTGGGCTTACTCCTTAATTATTGCAAAGTAGTTAGAGCTATAGATATAGTGGGATATTATATATACCCCATATACTCTATAAAATGAAAAGCAAAAAGAAGCAGGAAGACAAAGTTGATCCTCCTGTGCTTGACAATGTCTGTTTTCTCAATAAAGCAAACACAAAGTTTTCTTTCACTTGTGATAATTTACCTGTATAGATTTGGATTTAAAGACCTTTACAAAAGGGCAAATTCAGCACTTTTTAGGCTAACACTCCTGCCACAACACAGAGATTTAAAAAAAAACCCATTCAATAGAAATACTCCTCCCCTCCCAGCTATAGCTTTATTTCAAGGAGAGATGCTCTATTCCCCAGCAAGAGTCCTTTTCCTTAACCCTCAATAAAATGTTTCCTTTGATACCACATACATATATAATATTATATAGAGTGATATATTTAATACCTGTGTATATATGTTTATGGAAGGGTTACATATATACACACTAGAACAAGTCTGGTGACAAAATACTGCAACACCACGTATCAAGTTATCATATCCGGAAAAAACAAAAGTTGATTTTCACTGCAATATCCAGGAATATGTACTCTATACCTCCCTGTTCTGCTTCCATAAACCACAAGCCCCTTTCTTCCTCATCAAAATAATCTTGTGCAGGTAAAAGAGGCTGCAAAGCAGTTTATTTTTGAATTAAAGAGGAAAGCAAATACTATCCTGCCTCATTATCTAAGTAAATTCACATATCATAAGTCATGGCAGAGCATACACTTATAGTTACATATCTAAATAGTTTAAGAATGTTAGGCATTCATTTCTTATAACGTTTTCTACCTGTTAGAAATACTTAACATCACAACCCAAATGCTGGTCATTCACCCTTAGGACCAATGGGCTGAGACCATAATGGTCAAGCAGGCAACTACTTAGGATGTCTGTGCATGGGAAGAAGGGGTGATTTGATTTTACTTGCAGCTGGAGTGCTGTGGCGTTGTTCATCCCAGTGTCACATTAACTAAGACTATTTAACTGGTAAGACAGGAGACAAATATCGGCTCCCTTTAATTAAAACAACAACAACAACATCAACAAGGACAATGAAAAGTCTCTAACATGATCTGAAGGCTCTCATTTCAAAGTTCAGAACAGTCATATCAATAGGGGGACTATATAGTGAGTGCTTATTCCAAACACAGCTTTCAAGCACAGTAAACATGGATTCCACTCAATGTTAGTGCTCTGGGTACCTGGTTACTGTTCACAGGCACTCAGCACACAAAAATATTCTGATATACCTTCAGAAAATGGTGAAAAGCACCTACCACGGCTCTTCAAAGAGGTGGCTGCTGTATCACAAAAATAACCCTAAGGCTACTGTTTGTATACAGCAGATCTCTTTAAGCTGATTGTTCATGATAGGTAACAACTGGTTAATAAGTGCAATGGCCAGACACCTGATGAAAATGAGCCAACCAATGGGGCATCTGATCAGTTAAGAGGAACAGGATGAAGCAGAAAAAGGAGCTCTCAGAATTCTAAGCTACCAACATTACATTCCCCTCCTAGCCATATTTCCCTTTGTGCCTCTTCATATGAGAAGATACGGCCTTTCAGATCAGTTCCATGTTATTTCATACCAGAGGGACATATAATTTAATGAAATGCTGGATAAGATAGGAAAATGTATGGTATAACCAAGACTTCACTATCCATCTTGGATAGTGGAATCTCAGAATGAAACTTTTCCATTCATCTCACACAGTGCCATCTGCAACCTTGCAAAAGATAAAGATTGCAACACTGTATATCCATTTGTGCTAAACATCCTGGTGCATTTCCTCCTAAACTCTAAGGAAAATTGCACAAAGTTTGACGATCACAGATGTTGAACATGGGTTATTGTTACATGCAAACCTTTGCACCACAGTTTAACTCATAGTTGTTAATCATACCAAGCCAGGGTAAGAACCCACAGTGTGTTGCTGGGTGGGGAACTCTGGATAGTTTGTGGTCAACTACAGAGTGGGGTTCATAGATAATGACAACCCATGATTCAGTAACAACTCATACTCCGTGTTATTGTTTACATGGGAACTAGGTCCATATGGATCATGTGTTCCCTTACCCACACTACCCTCACATCACACCAAGTGTCAGAACATCAGAGCACATTTTTCCTTTACAACTATTATTTCACAGAATAATCTCAATTTTGTTCAGACTTTGCAGTCCAATCCTTAACATGTTTACCCAGAAAGCAAAATGAGTAAAAATGTTTTGGATTATAGCCTCTGGAAGTTCACTTCAGAGTTATATTATATGTATATGTTGATTAACATATAAAAGATGTTACTGTTTCCTACATTCTCCATTTGAATGTGGGAATGGAAAGCTGTTTTCATATGTTCTTGAGCCTGAGTTATTTTTAGATATTATATTCTACTTGTTTTAGACAATATATATTTAGATTCAAGGGAGATTTTGTTCTCCGTTCCAATCATAGTTGAAGCAGATGATTTTTAAAAGTAATTTCACTTTTCAAAACATTTTAACTTTTTGTTCCCTAGCTGGTGTCAAATTATTAAATGACACAGGAAGATTTCAAATCTAACTCAAACTAATATATCAGATTTATAAAATGCTGTTTCCTAAATGGCAATTTCTTAACCTGAACTATTGGATGATTTTTTAACATCCCTTGAAATTATTTCTGTCTGTTGCCACTTTCAGTGGTTTTGGGCCTTTGCAGATGAAAATCTATATTTAATAAGATGGAACTTCTAAATTGGAACTGGCACCTTTTCCCTAAGAACTGAATAGTCTCTCCACATAACTCCAAATACTAAAATTGCCCTAAGTGCATGTCAAGCTTGAGAACATAATGGCAAAAAGTAACTGGGTTTAAGGGTTGTTAAGGAGAGCCAAAGTTGACTTGTACAATTGCTACATCATCGTGGGGGAAGCATCTTCAGGATTAAGGTTAACATAGGTGAATATCAGCCCCAGTTTTATCATCTATTCTCAGTTTGCATTTGGAATAACGTAACATGAAAAAAGTCTAATGCAAAGTCCAAAGACAACATATTGATAGGTTATTTAAGATGCATATAGCAGAATTAAGAATCCACTGCCTTCCCTCATCTGATAGGAATTCGGTGAGATCAAAGAAGGGCATATGATGTTACCTAGATTAAAATAAACAAAGAAAGAAACTTCTTGGACTATTAGCTGCAGCAATTACTGGAGTCATGAAAACTATAAAACCAGATTTAAGTGTTGAGGGGTAGCTTCTTATTTGTGTTTTAAATTCTTTTTTCTATTACTGTTTTTAGAGACCATCTGCACAGTGAGGCTTGGGTGTCTGCAGAAGTACACAGCACTGCACTGGCACCTATACAAAACACCTATACTGAGACCTATACTGAACAAATCCCTATGTGCTTATCATTTCTGCACTGTTTTTGTCTGTTTCCATGACACCGCAATATCCCAACAAAACTAAAGAGCTCAGTTAAGAATTCATGAATTATGGAATCAAAATAAAATGTACCCTCTCTCTTATGTACCAAACATTGCAAACAGTATCTTCTTTAAGGAGAAAAAGAAGCTGGCGATGGTAGATTTAAACATAGTATTTTTAGAAAGGGGGAAAAAAACCAAAACAAAGCTCTAGAAACATCATGTTCACTGGCTACAGATGATTCAATTCCAGTTAACATAAGCAAATCATCCTGATTATCTTACAGTCAAAGACAGGTTTGTGGAACAATGATCAGTCTCTGTGTTACTGTGCAGTTCCTCCTACTCCCATCTCCAGTTATGAAAATTTGTATGTGTCCCCTACTACCCCCAGTAATTATATGCTATCCCGTAGTAAGAAACTGTATTTGCCAAAGTCATCATCTCTGGGGTATAGCAGCATATCCTTGCGGGCTTTGGCTAGTTTTTGCTTCATTACTTCTCTCCGATCCAGCCACTCTGTCAATTCATCCTGGCCATGAGCAAAATGACATTTCTCCCCTTCAGGGCAAGATTTTGTCTTCTGGAATCTGCAGAAGGAAAACACATGGCTGTAGAATTTTTCATTCTATTTCCTTCTGTTCTTTACTCTCTCAAGTCAGAAAGTCAACTTTTGAACTACTAAGTGGTTTTCTACTAAATATAAAGCTTATGGGTAAGCAGGGGACAAATTTTCAGGAAATAATCCAGAATATTTGCTACCATGGAGTTGTTTCAGGCACAACTTCCTGTTAATGCAAGAAGCAGCATTAAATAACAAACATAAAAATAATAAATCCAAAACACTAGTGATAATATAATATCTTAGGACAAAATAAAATTCACAAATTAGTAAGCTACCTGTCAAGTTTCACAGAACTCTTTTTCAGGAAAAACCAAAGACAAAGACATGTTTGTTGTATGTAGTTGTTTTGTTTTTTGTAAGCCATCCAGAAACTTTAGTATTGGACAGCATAAAAAGTTTGGATGGATGGATGGACAGATAAAAACAAAAGGCAGAGACCCTGGACAATGACCCAGAGAGACTCCTGATAGTTTTGTTTGGTTCTTAACTTTGATTTGATGTGAAACAGGGCAGGCAACATTGTTTCTGTTTCACAGAGTTCTGAGTATTCCCTCCATATGTGCCAGTGTCCCCAACTTTCCCACCCTTTCCCAAGAATTGTAGGTACTTGAGAAGGCAGAAAAGTGACTTCTTCATTCTTGAACATTTGCTTTTTACAGATGTGTAAGATGGGGCTTTCTTTGACAATGGATTTAGGCAGGACTGGACAAGGTAGATGGATGAGGCAATATGCAGATTTTAAAGGGAGAACAACTAGTGTCAGCCACTGAAATATGTAGCTTAGGTACTTTGGAGGGACTGTCAGTTTGGAGACTGCTTTTCACAAGTGGGTGAAAGCTGCAGTGAATGAAAAAGGGCTCACAATTGTAGCAGGGGCACTGAGCTTGGGATGGTCATCCCAAAGTGTGTTTGGGCACTTATGAGGCATCTACACTTATCAGTGGTCCAAACAAGCCTGGTAATGGCAACAAGAGGTTTTTTTCCTGTTCTCCCCAAGTGTCTTGCTAACCTCTTTCCACAACCCATGGTGGGATGGCCACCCAGGGTCAGATAATACAACAATCCATTGCGGGTTGAACAATCATTACAATAGCCCATAGCCCAGGGATCCTCAGGGTGACTTGTTGCAAAACCCTGCAGGAAGTGGTCTGGATTCTCCAGCTGCTGGATTCCATGATGGGTTGTCATGTTTTACAAACCAGATTGATGACTTTCAAAAGCAAACTGGATTGTTGTTTTAGCACAGGTACAGATAGAGAAATGACAGAGACAATGAAGTAACTGTTTCATGTGATTTCATCACATACTCCCTTCTAAGGGTACTTTCTAGACAGTGCTTCCAGCGGCAAGGAGGACTAGAACTAGGAATTTAGTGCATTTCTAAAGTGCCCAATAGCCACTCTTTCTAGGCAGATCATAATACGTATCCCTCCTCAAAGGCAACTGCCACTTGGGAAAAGGGGAGCTTTATGCACCAGTACCTTTCACACAGCCGGAATTCCCCCATTGGGAAACGGTAGTTCCAGCAGCTGGAGTCATTATCAGATGTGAACACTTTTTCTTTATGTTTCTCTGACTGGATGTGCTGCTGCCATTGCTTCTTGCTATTGCTGTTCTTTCCACAAAGCCAGCAATGGTAACCCATCTAAGAAACAGAGAGCAGAAGATGACAATTTTGTAACTTCATTAGGATCAACTGACCAACTGCTTTTAAGAAAGAGTTTTTCCATCCATGGTGTCAATCAAAATCCTCATTCCCATGGCTTAAATTAGGAGTGGACAGAATGTCGATCACAATATACTGGCAGATCTGTAGGTGATCTTCAAAAAAGCCACAAACAGTTTTTCAATTGTAACAGCAAGAACAAAATTCATTCTTTTAAATTAGGCTGCTGAAAAGAAAGCAGCTGGGGTGGGGGAAGGAACAGAACTGGAGTGGTGTGTGAAAGTTATGCATACTCAATTCTTTTACTTAAAAAATAAATTCTTGGTGTGAACCATATGCTTAGAAACATCCTGTTCCTGAATTCTGCAAGATGTATGTCTGCCCTGAGCCATTAATTTGCATTTAAGGCTGGTGGACCTTAAAAATGTGAGGATATAAGAAAAGCCATGCTGAATCAGAGCAATCTAGTCCAACAATGAGTTTCCAAGGTGGTCAAACAGATGCTTGTTGGAAACCCACAAGGAGAACACGAGTTCAATATCACTCTCTTTCCTGTGTTCCTGAGCAATTAGTATACAAGGGATATTACCAGCAATACTGGAGGTACTACATACAACCATGTTTCACAGCCATTAATAGACTTATCCTCTAAGATCTGTTTAATAGCCTTAGAAAACCATCCAGGTTGATGCCTATCAATACATCCCACAGTTTAACTATATAAAGAAGTATTTCCTTTTACTAGTTCTGAATTTTTCATCATTCAGCTTCATGGGATGGCCCCAGATTCTAATATTACGAGAAAGGGAGAAAAATGTCTTCCTATCAATTTTATCAAAGCTTATCCATATTCTCAAAGGGCTTTGAGGATCTAGTAAAAGATGAAGCAAAACCTGGAGACCCAAAGTTTCCACACTCCCACCTAAGTTCATTGTTCTTCTATAGTTATTTCTTTTTACTCTTTTCTAAACACTGCTGATATCTAACTACAGGGATGGGCTTCTGAAATAAGGCTAAACACAGGCATGCTTTTAAAGGGTCTACATCAGAGGTCTCAAACTCAACTTCCCTGGGGGCCGCTGGAAGTAGAGTCTGGGTGAGGCTGGGCCATATCAAGTATTCCACCACCACGGTGGTGGTGGGCCGCTCATCCGGAGGCTGGCCCAGGCACTGCCGGCGCTTTGAAGGCCACAGGGCCCCTCCCCCGTGCCCTGCCCATCCCGGCAATTGGCCTGTGGGCCGCGAGTCTGAGACCCCTGGTCTACATCCATGTGACTCTTCAGTAGAACATGCCTGACAATGAAAACTTGCTGAATTACCTGCACTAATTAATAACTATAATTTATTTATTTAAAACATTTCTATGCCGCCCCCATTGCAACAAAGCCTCGGGGCGGCTCACAAAAATGAGAACTGTAATTGTTCTTATTTATGGTATGATTTGCATATGAGTCAGAGCTGTAAACAAATTTTCCAGTAGCAAGCCTATTTTAAAAAAGGTTTGCTCAGCTCAACTTTTGTAGAAAAACAGTAACAAAGAAATGTAGAAGGACCCAACATCCTGTGGACCTTCCCATAAAGTAACTGAAGAAAGAATTTTTAAGGAAAATATAATATATATATCCATAGGCTTCTCCTCTCCTGATTAACTAAGTTTATTTTGCAGCATTGTACATTCCCAGGGCTGTTTTTTCTACACAAAATCCAATTGCATTCTAGTAATCAAATCCTATCCACATTTAAAATAATCCTTTTTATATTTCACTTCCCATACCCTGATTGTGGATTCCCCACACTTCTGGACTTCTTAACAAAATATAACAATTAACGGAAGTTACTTTCAAACTCATCTTTCAGGGATGGATGAGTTTTCTTCCCTGAAGGCCACAGGTGGCAGTCAATGGGTGATGGGCCTCAGAAGCTGTATGGGGGTGGTGATCATGGTACTGGTCCACAGCCTCCTCTGCCCCTCAAGCTGACACACATGCTATTTAGCCATCTCAGATGGTGGAGATGGGGGTGCAAACCTCCCTTTCCTGTTTGCAGAGATCACATTGTGCCTCTCCTCCCAGAGCCTATCAGCTGATGATGGATGAAGATGATGGATGAAGATGCCTCTCCTCACGCACTGTCCTTTCCAGCACAACTATGGCAAAATTTAGCAGTGACAGTTGTCTGGTGATGGTATTCAATACTGCCGCATGACACACTGAAGTGCATTTGAGGACCACAGGTTACCCACACATCCTTTGCTTAGTGCAGTACTTTGTCAGAAACCTCCAAGTTCAAGCAAAAGACAAAACACAGCAAGATAAAGATCAGGAGAGAAATATTACCATATCAGCATAATCAGTTGGCATCTGGATCTGCTTCTCCCCTTCCCGTGATGTTAGAGGTGTCCCCTCACCAGGTTTCCCAGGATTATGTTTTTTCAGCCACAAGTCATAAGTCTGCTGCATATCCAAAACTGTAAAGAAACAGTAATTTGATTAGTCAGGATGCAACCTTGCTAAAGAGGAAAGCATTACATAGGAATACAGGGATGTGCCTTATACCAAAGCCTAGCTCAGTGTGGTCTACAGTGACTGGCAGGGGTAATCCAGGGTTTCAGGTAAGGCTCTTTTGCCTGTCCTCCCTGGAGTTGTCAGGGACTGAACTTTGGACCTTTTGAATATAAAGCAGATGCTCAACCATTAAACTACCATCACATCTAAAGGGATATGCAGAAGTACTTACTCCTACAAGGGGAACCCACCTCCAGGCTCAATTAGGCCCATGGTTCACTGGAAACCACATGTACCAGCAGAGGAAAAGCCAGGCTACCATGCAGCATGTGCCTCACTTCTTCCATGAAATAAGTAGGAATAAGGAATGCAGTCTCCTCTATACCAGATGTCAATGACCACAAGTTATCTCACTTTTACTTGGGTAAAATGGCTAACTGGATTTCCAGAAATAATGCGGTTAGAATTGCAGAACATGATTTGCAGATTGGGAGCCACTGTTGTGAATGTGCTTCCATGTGTGTCCCCTCCGTATTCCCCTCCCTAAATTCATCTTCTTGCTCTCTTCTTCACATTAATTGTGGTTTCATGGAACCAAGGTTTGAGAATCCATTTCAAGCCACTTGTAATTTGTGGCTTGAGAGAATTCATGTATGCACTGGTGTGTTTGTAATGTGAAACTGCCGTTGGCACAGGCAAGGGAAATAACAGGTTGCTTATGTTTAACTGTGGTTCTTCAAGTGATCATCTATGAACTCACACATATGGGTTATGCATCTGTACATAACAGCATTTTTAATTTTTTAAAACATAGCAGAGTATTTTGATGGGAGTCCCACCCACTCCTTGAAACATGTTTGGGATGCGGCTCATGCCCGTATCTTAGTTCAGGACAGTCCTACAAGAGCAGAAGCAGGACATAGAAGAGGGAAGGAGGATGGATTATGTAAGTTCACATTTGACCACTTGAAGAACCACAGTTACGCATAATTAACATCTTGTTCTTTGTGGCTTCTGTGACTCACACAAATGGGTGACTACAAAACTAAGAATTTCCAGTGGAGGGAGATGTCACGCTAACACAGAGGAGAGAAAAGCCCTTCTGAAGGAAGCATTGTTCTGGGCTCTAATATCCAAGCAACAGTGCCTGATAAATTTAGATGTCAGAAACCATGTGACCATGGCACAAAGCTGAGGAATTGGTATATCTCTGATGCATGTCTCTGAGGTAGACTCTGCCCTTTTAGAATGTCCTTTTGCCTGTAATAGAGATGACAGATGAGTGAATTGGTATGCCAAGTAATGGATAGAAGTTATCCATTTTGTCAGAAGTTAAAGAGAGACTGGGAATCCTGAATGTAGAAAGCAAATGACCCTGCCAATGTTGAGTGAGTGGAGTTTAGTATTATTATACCACTGCATTTATAACTTACCTTTTCCCCTCTTGTAGGAACCCAAAATAGTTTACATAGCCCCCCTCCATGTTATTTTGTCCTCACAACAACTCTGTGAGGTGTGTTAGGCTGAAAAGCAAGTGACTGACCCAAAGTCACTCAGTGCGCTTCATGGTCAAGGGGGTACTAGAAGCTGGAACTCCCAGGTTCCCAATCCAACACTTCTAACCCTAACCCTCACGGAGGTTCCTGCTGCTTGTGGGCCAGATATTGGGAATGGTGGATATTACTTAATTGGCTAGTTCCTCTTGATCTGGCATCAGACAACAGGATTAGTTAAGTTACTGGCTCCTATTTGTGAAATAATTATTTTTTTTAAAAAATGGACCGTTCTAGACTGAGGGAAATCCTTTCTATCATACTTTTGTATAGAAAAGTGGCAATCTCCTTGCAGAGCACTGACAGAGCCACTGGAGTGAAACATTTCCAGTGAAGGAAGGCCCTTGACTTTGATGTGATACCTGTCAGTGACAATGGACAGCACCCACTTGTCTGATGTGATGTGGTCCCAGGCATGGAGAAAGGGTGTCAGGTTGCAGTTGAAGAACAGAGCTGAGTATAAGAGAATGCTGGAATGAAGAGACTACTTGTTATTGGTGGTGATCTTTCCTTGATTAGAATATTGATCTTTGGATTGGATGGCCATTTATTGTGGGTAGACATATTGATTATTCAGGTATCCTGTCGGAACTCAGTTTGCAGTGACAGTGATGTGGTGTGCAGCAGTGCCAATTAGGGCAGACTCAAGGGAATTCAGATCCTGATTACTGGGGGCCAATCCCAACCTACATGCCAATAATTTCATTTTTAAAAACTTGGCCAAGCACGTCATCTTTGGTCAAGCATTGAAAATGCCATCACTGTCAAAGCTGAGGTGTTGATTTGTTGACTAGCCAGCCTGTGGTCCTTGGTCTGAAAAATCATGGCAAGGTTTCTGGCACCCTCAGGGAGCTAGAGGTGCTACCTTGTCACACAAGAATTTTTGATTTGCTGACATGCACGCCAGGCAATTCATAGAGATAAGATGGCTATGGAATATAGTTTTCAGCTTAATAAACCATGTTTCCACCTCTCTGCATTCATGGGTGATGAATGTGTCTTATGCCTGGATCTTGGTTGAGATGTTTCCACTATAATGAAATTGGGTATAGGGTACTTAAAAAGGAAGGAACAGTCATCCTCCTGAACCCTGTAAAGATTCTTGATTTTGTATGCAGCTGGTCTAGTCTGGAGCACAGATTGGATCTTTAATTTCAATGAAAGATGAGTGAAATTGGAGATAGTAGATCTTGAAGAAAGAATGCATAATAATCATGGACCAAAGAATCTTTTAAAAAAGCACTGATCCTAAATATTACTCATGCATTCAGGGATGATCTAATAAAATTTGGTATCTTATGAGAAGAAGAATTAGTTCTCTAATCTCTCCTTTGATGTCTCCAATACAAGCATACTATGGAAAACATTTCAGGAAAAATAATAATCCTACAACTAAGGAGACATGGTCAACCAAGAAAGATGAATTTTTCCTGCATCTTTTAAGAATTAAAAGATGCAGGAAAAAAATATAGAATGACTCCTTTATTATCAATTGGTCTCAGATTAAAAAAGGAAACTCAAACAGGAAAAAAGCCTAATAAGGAATCTTACTGGTTTTGAAACTATAATTAAACATCAAAAAGACCATTTCCTAGGACGAATTTATAAATTATGGCTTAAACAATAAATTCAACAAGTTCAAATATCTGTGAAGAGTTGGTCACAGAACTTTGAAGAAGAAATATAATCTCATCAATGAGTAGCCTTATGGACTAAAGATATAAAATTCATTGCAAGTCAAACGTTAAGAGAAAACTGGTATAATACATACTTTTTGTGGTATATTAGACAACAGATAAGAACTCTAATGGAAAATGTTGCAAATGTAGAGAGAAAGAAGGGACTTTCTATCATATATGGTAGACATGTAACTAAAAGATTCTGGAAGCAGATACACATGGAAATGCAGAAAATACTTAAAATGGACTTTCCAATTCATGCCAAGAATATGCTATTGGGCATTGTAGAGACCAGCCCAGAGATTATGACAGAGTTATTTAAATGCATGAAAACAGCAGCAAAAGTGGTAATTATTTATGGAATTATGGAAAGGTGAAGACTAATTGTTGAGGATTGGAAAAGCAAGTTAACTGACTATATTAATAAAAGTCCAGTCAAATAATTAACTCAAAGAATGAAAGCTTATTCTGAGCAATTTAATTAATTGTTAAATAAAATATAGTTTTTATAAATATCAGTAATTTCTACTTTAAAGTTAAAGCAACAGACTGGACAAATTTTGTTTGACTGAGAATTGAATTGTTTTAATGAGATTATAACCCATGAGATTTTCACTTTTTTATGAATGTGTATATTGATGTCATGTTATATTTGCAGATCAACCCTTGGCACCTTCCTTTCTTAAATCCCTTTCCTTTTCTTATTATACTTGTGAAAATAAATTTTTAGAGACTTGGGGAAAAAAAGATTCTTGATTTTGTGAGATGTTAGTAGTAGAGGGAAAGGTTTTGCCCATGACTGTTCGACAGAATGGTTTAGGGTTGGTTGCATCAATGTTGATATTGATAGAGCTATGTCTACCTGAACTCTATTGAACACTGGGTCAGCTAACAAGATTGGTGAAAGTTTGATTTCTAAGTCCAGGGATTTGGTCATCCTGCGGATCTGTATGGCCTGATGTCATCTGAAGGTGAGAAGGGGTTTTGATCTTGGACTGGAGCATCCTGTAATGATAACGGCAGTGACTATAAGGAAGAAGAGGAGATAGGGTCAGAGCAGTAGCTGTCTTGTGTTTGGGAGAGCTCAATAATAAGATCCGGAATGTCAGGGGGTTGGGAATTTAGTAGATGCTGAGTTGAAGTGACCAACCTGGTTACACTGTGAGCAAAGTGTCTGGGCAAGTGCAAGGGTTGGCTGCAGCTGGAACAGTAGACAGTAGCAGCTCAAATTATGTGTGTGGCAGGACATGTCTGGAAGTTCCAGATACACACTCAGCTGGTGGTATCTGTAGTAGGGAAGGTTAATGTCCAGATAATAACAGTACTCCTGGAGGAAGTGATCTTTGTAGCAATATGATGGAGAATGATAGTGATGGTAGTAAGCATGAATGTGTCTGAACATGTCAGGGAAGCAGCAAAAGATTTCCAGGGATGCAAAAAATGCTGGCAAAGCCTGTTAGTACAAGGGAATTGGTACATGTGAGGGGAATGGTGGTGGATTGAATGAAAAAGGCTCTGGCAAGAAGTACTGCAGAAATTCACCACCAGACATAGAAACTAAGCAATGGAGACTGTCCTGTGAGTTGTGCTTATCAAGGAGATGAAGCTTCCCCAAAACTGACACTGCTGGATGTGAAAAAGGCTGTGGCCTCAGCAACTGAGTCTGGACCAAGTAGGGCTCCTTAAAGAACTTAATGGAGTGATATGCCCCTTTCTTTTTTTAACTTTGATCTTGGGGTCTGAGAGGTAGCTGGTCATTTTGATGAATCTGTTTCATTTGTTCATTATCAACAGTCAGTACCAAAGGGCCAGTCTCAAGCCATTGGTCCAGGGAGACAGCTGAAGGTGTCACTACCGCTCTCTTGGTTGCCACTGATGGGGATGGGTGTGAGATCAGTTGAGGAAGGAGATGGTCTTCTGCAGTTACGAGAAGAAGCAGTGAAGCAGCATGCTGCAGGGTCTGTGCCTGTAGCACTTCCTACAAGAAGAGAGCATGGAGTCAATCCTACCTATTCCTCTGGGCCAGCAGTGTAAAGGCCTTGCAGTAAAGGCAGGTGTCTGATGTGTGGGTCTCTCCATGGTGCAGGAGACACTAGGAATGTCCTTCTGATCAAGGGATTTTACTACTGCATTAGGAACACACTTCAAGGAACACCTTGAGGGCTGTGTGCCCCTGAGGGGCAAAGACAAGACTGAAATACTGTGAGGAAGTATGAAAGACAAAGATAGGGAAATAAAGAAAGGAAGCTCTGCTAAGGTGCCTAAGTGGCAGGAAGGAAAAGAAAAAAGAAAATATACAGAACATTTGCAATGAGACTAGAACACTCCAAACTGCCGCTTGTTGGTGTGACAGAAAAGAAGGAACTGAAAGATGGGCAGGAGCTACGCTTTGAGAGTGCACCAAGGGGGCCGGACTCCTGCCAAAATACTCTGCTGAGCTCTTAAATGGCCTGGACTCTGTTCTGTGCAGAAACATATCCCATATGTGAGTGTCATTGAAATCATGAACACAAATTGCTCCAGAAAGGGGAATGGGCTTCACAAGCTGCTCCTTAGTTTTCAAACCATAATTTGTCTTGGTGGCAGCACTGGGCTACAGTGAATCTATTAACCCCACAGTTAACATCCCTAAAATGGTTACAAAAAGCAATTAGAAGAGAGCGCTTCCTAGCTCCCAAATGTGTATTCCACTCACTCTTATTTTCTTTCATGAAGGTCCACATCTCTCTCTCTTCGGGGCTGTGGGCAAAGGAGCAATTTCCAACATATTGGCACTTCCTGCCATTTTGGGCATGAATACATAGCTGTGAAGAGACAATAAAACAAGGAGACATAAATAAGCATGAATAAGGTCTGGTGCAACTCCCTGCCTCCAGAAATAATGTAAGTAGTTAAATGGGGTCCACATGGGTGCAACTCTAGTAACACATGATCTCAGATGAAATAGAGCTGTTTTTGGAAGGGCCCAGAATTGGTTGAAAGGCATATTTAAGTAAACAGCATGATGAAGACCAAGGAGCTGTCAAAATAATTCCAGGATAAAGTTTTGCAGTAGCCCCAGTCAAGGCTGGATTTCAAAAATCCTAAACTATGAACATCCCCAGAATACCATTAAATCCATTATTACAAAATGAAAATAATCTATTTCAACTTTGACTGCACCTAAAGAAGGCTATTCTCATTGACTTGGTAAGGAGGGCATTAGTAACTTCATTAAGGCTAATAATAATTCTGAAGGAGCTGGAGAGCTCCACAGCTGAAATGGGAAAAAGCATCCATCCATGGGACCACTATCAACCAGATCTTCAACAAGATCTGAAAAAGTGTAAGAAAAATTGTAAACAAGCTATTGGAGTTTGCATAAAGGCATGTGGATGACATAACAAACATGTGGGAAAAGGTTTTCTGGTCATATAAGACCAAAATTCAATTGTCTGGCTTTGTCACAAAATGTTACATTCAGCACAAAGCCAACAATGCTCATTGTCCTGAGAACACCTTTCCGGTGGTGAAGCATGATGATGACAACATCATGTTGTGGGGATGCTTTTCCTCAGCAGGAATTGAGAAACTAGTTGGGGATTGAGGGCATGATGGATGGAACTAAACAGAAGGCAATTCTAGAAGAAAACATGTTTCAGTCTGCAAGGGACCTGGGGCAGGGGTTCAGGTTCACTTGCCAGCAGGACAATGACCCTGAAGAGTCAAAGCAACACTGGAGCACCTAAATGTCTTAGAATGACTCAATTAAAGCCCAAGCTTAAATCCAATTGAGAATGTGGCAAGCAAAGTTACTGTTCACCGTTACATTATCATCCAATGTGACAGAGTTGGAACAACTCTACCTTGAGGAACAGGCAAATCCAGATATACCAAGCTAATAAAGACTCACAGCTGTCATTGCTGTCAAAGGTGCTTCTACCAAGTATAAACTTGTGGGAAAATACCTTTGCACTGACAAGTGCCAGTGTGTTTTCATTTACTTTTGTGCAACAAAACCAGTATTCTGCACCCTCACATCTTGTGTTCATAAAGGGGTAACAATGCAAATTAAGTCCATTGCAAGTCCAGGTTGTAAAACAACAAATGTAGAAAAGTCAAAGGGGACCGGGAATACTTCTTCAAGGCACTATAAAGTATAGCAAGGGAAGTCATTTTGTTGCTCCTTTTGTTAAACTTTTGGGATTCTGAAATCTATTACTGATTTACTGCAAATCACTCAGGAATCTCCACAGAAATCTAGATTCAGTCCCTGATATAGAATACAGATGGGGAACCCACACAAGAGGCCTTCAGTGAAGCCATATCTAGGTGCCCAAATTCCTGCTGCTCCTGCCTCTGACTTTTTCCAATTATGCCATGATTGTACTGGAGAGGAGTGCGAAAAGTAGTGGTTTGGCAGCATAGCAGAAGCAAGATTTTGATGGAGAATTTTCCATGAACTGTCCATGTGGGCTTCTCCCCAACAGTTGATTGCACCGTTTCTAAGCCTGCATCAGTGTGATCCCAAGCACAGGGAGGAAGTTTAAACTTTTCCATCCTGAGATGGGAAATGAAGCATTGGAGGCTTGGGGTGAGAAAGGTGCTGGTTTTGCCACAGCCACCACCAGCCACTGTAGTTCTTTAGTAAAGTTTCGGGAAATACTGCTGTGAAATTATTCCTGTACTTTCTTCCAATTGAGAGTAGCTTGAGACTAGTGGTGGTGGTGGGGAGCTTTCAGAGGGAGTTGCTTTTGAGTGTGCCACTCTCCACATGCTGAACCCTGTTAGTCAGGCTAGCAGGATTAGTATGGATGGCACAGTCCAAAAAAGTATAGTCCATGCAGTGTCATGAGCTCTCTGCCCAAGACAGCACCACATGCTTGCTTTCAAACAAGTAGCTGTTGCTACAGTAAGCAGTAAGCTCCCAGGAAATCAAGTTGTTTCACTAGGGTGCCATTCTCCTATTCTCTGGCTGTCTGTTCATCCTCCATTGTCCTTTTGCCTTTGCTTTAGTCTTCTGAGGGCTACTTAAAGAGCTAGTGTTCCAGGGTTAGAGAAGAAAAGCTCCCCTGGCTAGTACCTTGCAGGTTGCAATGCTCTTAAGCTGGGATGCATTCCTTTAGTATCTACTACACTGCAGCCCTTTAGGGGTCCTCTTTTGATAGGTGGCTCTCTCCCTTGCCCTGAAGGCTCTGGCAGAGCTGCTAGCAGGCCCCCTTCTGTTTGCCAAAAGCTTCTTCTCTACCTTTCCCTTCTGCTCCTCTTAAATCCTCATGGACCACAGCTGTGGCAAATCTTTCTGTTTGCAGTGAGCCTTCTCCAACTTCTGGAGTCCAGGCCTCAATCAACTGTGTCTCTCACTATCCTCCTTATCTCCAGGAGTGCAGGACTGAGCCTCAGAATAAGAATTGCAGGGCAGCGACTACATGTGCCTCAAGAAGTCCTGCTGACAGGCTTCTGCATGGGATCTGGATGGCCACCATGCAAACAGGATGCTACATAAGCCTGTAGTCCGACTATGTTTCTTATGAGAATCCTGTCATGGCCCCACACCCTGCTTTTCCCCCTTGCCCCCAACCTCACTGTTCCCATCATCTCTGCTTTAGCACGAAACTGGCCCTGAAGGCCTCTGAACATTCGCCTTCCCTCCTGCCATTTCTGAATACACTCCACAGGGAAAAACATGCCTTTCCTTCTCTCACCTCTGTTCTCAAGTCATTCTCTTTGAGCCCTTGCATATTATTATTTCAATTTCTTAATCATCCTACAGTCATAGTGCTCAGGGCAACGTGCATAATAAAACAAATATATCAAATAAAAAGTAAGAAGACATTTAAAAGTACTTTTTTTAAAAAGCAGCAACAAAAATTCAGCCTTCTAAATAGAAATAACTGATCAACTAAAAACAGAGATGATTTTAAAATGTAGCAGTTTATATTAAAAATAAAACAAGTTGCTGTTTAAAAGGCCTAAGAAAATAAAAAGGTGTTTCCCTGATACTGAGAAATTGTGTAGAACTCCTAAGCAGAACTTAGACTGGGAATGAACTTGAAAGAATTGCAGATATATTCCAGCATCTGGAGTTACAATAAGATCTACTCGAAAAGGAAAACTGAATAGAGCGGTTCAGCATGCTATATTCATATTATTGAATAAAAAAAGAAATGATGAGTCAGAACAAAGCTCAGACAAGATCTGCTGACTCTCTTTCCTCAAAAACTTAATTCTGGGTCAGATCCCTTCTTCCATTTGGGAGTAGAAGCAAATCATGACCAGATCCCTTCATTTCATAAGTAGCTTAGTAGCCAGCTTTGACTAAGCTGATGGCTTGAATCCAGCTTTGCACACTGGTGACCCCTATTTCTGTCACATAAGAGCTGTACCTACAGCACAGGAAGTTGCCATTTCAAGACAGCTTTCACTTGCCTTAAAGTGGATTGGCACAGACCTGCCATGTACCAGCACTGGGCAGGTTTAATAGGCCTTGTTGTTCAGTGCAGTCACATTTGCACCCTTCAACATGGATATATTTAAGAACTAAATACCTCCAAATATCTCACTAGCACGGGAGGACAATGTTTGAAGGATACAGCTGATGACACCTATCTCAATTTCTCTTTTGCATTTAATTCATGTGAACCTGTGGAGTTGCTGAACAGTTGCTTGAAATTTGTAAGTAAGTCCATCAATGGAAAGCTCAAGTCAGATAAAGAAAGGTATTGTTAGAGAGCAATTCTTCTGGTGGGGAATATTATTCAACCAAATCTGGACTGCACAGCACTGCACTGTCCCAAAAGGCTTAGATATGCCATCAGAGGATGCTGTTAGATTTGTCCATGTCCCTGGAGGCCCAGGTTGGTTATTTACACTGCACTGATGGCTATTTAGCAGGCAAGGCAGTATATAAATGCTAATAAAGAGAAAATTTGTTAGCAGGCAGACTAAAATATAATTAATAAATTACAGCTAGATTTTGACTGGGTGAACAGAACCTATCCTGCTACTTTTAGAACCACTATGTTCTATGTATTTCTACAGTTCAGATATGGTCTATTTCCAAGCAGAATTCGAAGCGCTGCTTTTAAATTCCATAATTACTATCTTAAATTTATTGCTATGATTTTTATGTTATGTAAGCTTCAGTGAGGATCTTCTATACTGCAGATCCAGGTAGCAGACACTGAAATAATATAAAGAAAACACAAACACTAAAAACAAAAACATAGAAGAGGAAGTAAAGAGAGGCTTCTCCTCTAAAGCTATATCGTCACACCTTTTCCATTTCCTCATGCCACCTATGGCATGTTGGTAACTTGTAATAAAAATAAAGCCTCTTTGGTTCTTAGAAAACCACAACCTGAGACTGCATGCCCAGCCTTCCTCCACAAAATCATTCATTCTAACAAAAGAATGGTCTCTAAAGCAACTCCTTGTAACTTCTATTTCTGTCTTCTTACCTGTCTCTCACAGGTCTGAATAGAAGATGCTGGCCTGATTTGGATGACACAACAATCTACCATCATAAACAGCCACGATGGATTGCTGCACTGTTTGGTCCCTGTGCCGTTTTGGCAGAGTTGCTTATTTCCCCTCAGCGTGACACCCTGAGAACCTATGGTTTAAGGAAACTTCATACCCATGGCGGCTTGTGTGATCTGAACTGGCAGAGTGATTTCACCGTAAGTTGTTGAAAGGGTGCTTGCAAGAGAAGACAAAAAGCAAGCTGCTGCTTGTGAATGATCTCAGTTCCTGAATTCTACTGAGCAATTGACTGTAGCCTGTATACTACTTGGCTTTTCCTCCACTCCAATGTGATTTTGCTACTTCCTTTGTCAAGTTCAGTTTTATCTTCATAGAGAAGGCGGCTCTCATTTTTTAACCTAGGTGATATTTTGACCCTTCGTCTTGTACAGGCCATTAAAATGATTGATTATGCAAAGTTTCATTTTGTTTATGCAACAAACCTGTACAGAGATTTTTGAAGTCTTCCCATTACTATTTTCCTTCTCCTCCTAGTCCATGTTGCCCAAAGTTATTCAAACCCTTATGACTTTGTCTGTGTGAGAGAACCTGTGGTTCATCAGCCTACCTCCCAGCTGAAAACAGCTAAAATCAGAACTGGAATGGCATTTGCTTTGGGTACTGTAACAGGCATTGTGGGACCAAATTTGCCTGGTACAGTCCACTTTTCATCACAGCCCATAAAGGACCCTGCAATGAAGCAGGACACTGAGTCCTTGTTCCAATATGTCACACATTCCAGTATCAGTAAGTTACTGTCGAGTGAATCTGGGACCATCACCCATGTGTGTGCTATTCACAGACACTGTGTTACATTTACTTACAAGAGCAGAATGGCCTATGCTGCCCGCAATTGTTATAGCAGACAGAATAGAATAGGTACATCTACCCAGCCCCACCACAGATGCTATGGTAGTCATGCTCCATACATCCTTTCCCCGTAAGTATACCTCTGGCAGGTCTCTACCGTGTAAGCTTCCCCCTCTCCTAGTCATCCACTTGACAATATGCCTGGTGTAACCCCCATCTTATTAGTGCAGTAATCCTTCACTTTTCATGTATAAGCCCACTTGAATTTCCTAGCCTGTAGGATATCCTCTTTATACAGCACCTGTCCCATCAGTATCACTTTGGTTAACACTCCCTGTTTGAACAAAGCCCATTTTCAGTAAAGCACAGAGTCCTTAACACTGGGTCTGCTTATACAAAACAACAGTTGTAAAAGCTGCAGAACCACTGCATGATGAAGATGGGAGGGTGGTGTGTGTGGGGAAACCAGGCTGATAGCACAGTGGGCATGCCACAGTGAGTGAAGAGAGAGGTTCAAGCAGAAATGCCTATCGTGTTCTTGAAGACAAGCTGGGGGCAGTGGAGGAGCTGGCAACATGAGCGAAGCATGATCGATATGATCTGGCCCAGGGAAAGCATGGTGGGAGAACTAAGTGAAGGAGGAGCCAGAACTCAAACAAATTATCAGGCTGTTAGAAACCAAGCATGACCGGAGGGCAAGGATAGCTACTCCAACTGAAGAACATAGATGGGAGCAAAGATGGGAGGGGGAACAAACACATCTTCTCTGTTGAGTAATGGGGCTGGGGTAGCAAACAGGTGAAGAAGGAGCCAGAGCTCAAGCTGCTTCTTGGGTGTGCAGGAGTGTGGTGAGAGGAAAAGAAGAGCCAAGGACAGCCAATTCTATGGCTGTCATAGAGGAGAGGGGGGTGTCAAGGAAGGGATGACGAGTGAAGTGTTTCTTGGCCAGCATTGTACTAACCACAGACTAAATGCCAGACAAAAATAAAATCCGCCAAAGGACAAAACAAATATAGGTGGTTATCAATCTGCCGTGGGGCAGGGAAGGATCAGAAAACTTTCCATTGGAAAGGCAGGACAGACCCAGAGGACCAATAGTAAAAAAGGCTGCTGTACGAACTGAGCAAAGGACTGTGAGCTGGGAATGTTTTTCACAAAAGCTCCTGGGATACATGCTGAGAGTGGGCAGGAAGAATGAGTTTGAAGCAAGCCATGACAAGTCTCAGAGAGACTGATCATCTGTTAGCATGATCAGTGGGCTATTTGGCAAACAACCAACCCACATGGTTTATTCTCAGAATGATTTAACATAACATGCAAACCCACCCATGGTTTTGTGCTCAAAGCAAAGGGGCAGGCACTCCTATTAGAAACAGATTTAATGAATGCTTCCAATGAAAGAAAAAGCATTATCTTAGCAATCTACAAAGACACACTAGTGAAAATCTTCAACTCCTTTCAGCAACTCTGTTTGAAGCACAACGTTTTCCCTTAGTGTAGAATTAAATTCTGTCTTATAAGAGGCCATAGAATATATTTGTAAGAAAGTTTTTTAAAAGGAGACATTTGACCCAAATGATTCATAGGACGCCTGGAGTGTGCATGCACATACACATTCCTTTTTATTAACAAAGATGATGGTTCCTTTTAGAGATAAAGTGTTTTTATGTGTTCTATTGTGACTGTATTTAATGTTACTGTTCCTCTTTCCATTTAACTTACTAAAATCAAGTGCTGTTTTCAAAAACATACTTGAGTTAACTTGCTGTCAATTATTCATGTTTCAGAAACTGTTACCAAATCTTTTCCAGTAGTAAACAAACTTAGAAATATTGCAAGTTTCTTTCATACACACTACTCTGCCTCTGCTCTGCATTTAAGGAAGGTAATTCAAGATGAAAAACTACATCTGATACCAGAGCCAACCAGTCCTTCATGCAATTAGGATTATTAATCAAAGACCAAATCTGCACAGGCGATTTCAACAGGACTCAAATCTTCTCCCAGTCTCATGTCACTGACTATCTTGGCCTTCAGCCAGTCCCAATTTGTCATTATTAGAATGATTATTATTATACTGTCTATGGAGGACTTTTTTCTTTAGCATCTATGTTCTTATTCCCTTCTCATGGCATGCTTACTTCAACCACAAAAGAAAAGGCAAGTGCTGTCCACTAAAGGACTGCTCTACTTACATCATATTGCTGAGGGAAGTTGCGAATGGAAGGCAATGATCGGACAGATACCCACTTCTTCTTTGCTTTGGACATCACTAGTAGGACACGGCGCTCCTTGGTCCAACTGTGTGACAAGAAACCCAATATAAAGGCAAGGCATGGGCAACAAAAATGCCATGAAAGCATTTTTCATGCCAATTCATCTTTCATAGCCAATTCATCTTATTAGCAGTATGTGGCTGTTGTGGCCACTGCTGAACAGTTCAAGTTAGTGAATCCAGAATTTCACACTGGAAAAAAGGAGAGTTCTGTACGATGAGAGTTGGAGAGGGGAACTAAGCAAAGTCAACCATACAAAGCAGTACCACATAAGAAAAGCCTTACTCAAGCAGACCATCTAGTTCTGCCTCTCAGGCAGCAGTCTATCCTACAAACATTAAGGAAGTGATCCCAAGACTAGTGGACCCTAGTTAAGCAGGTCTGATTAACAGATGAATGAAAGAAAGACTTAAGCATCACAGAGGGAAAACAGGACACAAATTTCATACATAAGGAAGCGTTGGAGGCATCTCTCTCTCTTATAGCTGTTCAAGACAGGGAGGCCCTGGGTTGCCTGGCTGTAACTCAGTTAACAACCACAGGTATTTCTGCAGTCCACTAAAAAGAGAAAGCTCCACTGTTTTTCTATGTAAGACAGCACATTACAAACTATGCAACAGGAAAAAAATTCACAAAATGGGGAGATAACAAGAGCACCTACCAGTGGCGTGCTTTAGCGCTACAGTATTTGAGGTCTTTGTCTGGTTCCACCACCTGCCCATTCCTCCAGCACTGACCGCAGACAAATTTCATTTGGAGGTCAAAAGTGTTTGATGTGGGAGTCCTACTAGAAGGCTGAAAGGAGTGAGAAGCAAACTTGAGTGAAGAGGCTGCATTCTAAGATCAGAAAATCTAGGTAGATTAAAAGAGTACGTATTTCTTTGCATGCTTGTTCTTTAATGAGGATAGCAGAATAAAAACAAATTACAAATCAAAACAGTAAAAATCAATGTATTTAAAGATTTCTATTATTTATTTCTAGTATGTATGTATTAAAAATAACATTTCCTACTAATTTTCAGGCAAAAATTCTCCTCTCCAAACAATCGCCACTCAGTGAAAAGTGGAAGACATACATAAAGGACTAAATGCATGCAACCCTGAGTGCACGCACTCACACACTGAAGTGTATACTACACAGGATCTTCTACATGGTTTTCTGTTCTTCTGTGGAGGGGAAGAGTGAAATGGCACAATGCAAACCTCACAGTAAAAACCATCTTTATGGTCTTGCTGCTTTAATTAACAACTGCAAGTTTCCCAGTGTTAGCCACTGTCGCATGTAATAGTATTTGTCATGGCATACAGTGGGAGTATTGAGTATGGAATAGCAAGCAGCACAAAGCTCTTCTAGGAAAAGTATCAGTGCATCTGCAGCATGTGAATACACAGAACGCAATCCAGACAACAGGAGCAAATAACCCTTGAGAACACAGCAAAGGAAACCAATACTGAGGTGGAGATGTTATCTTCCCATGTACCTTGAGATGGCTTATCACTTCAGACTATATTTCAGCTGTACCATATTGATCTTTATTTTGGACTACAGTCTACTACTCAATGTAGATATACTCTGCGATGGGCGCAGCATAATAAATAAATAAATAAATAATCTCTCTGCCTGTGCCAGACACAGACCACAATAATAATATTTTCAGCTTTGAATGAGTGCAAATAGAAGATGAAAAAACACTCTAGTTATTCAAGGACAATTTGTATCAATGTGAATCGTGAAAGAAAAAGGGCCAGAGGAGGACTATAAGCTAATGCATTCATGCAGTCAAGGCATGGAGATCAAGTCCAGGAAAAATAAATAATTACAGAGTAGGAAGGGAAGAAGAAATGGGTGTCTCAGTTTGCTGTGGTGCACAGCTCTACAGCAGGGGTGACAAATCCTCTTCAACCCAAGAGCCAAATATTAATTTGGAAAAGTAGGTAAGGCCAAGGGTAATGCAGACAGGGCCAAAACAAGATTTGGCCATTTTACCACCAAGCATACAAAAAAAGCTCAATTCTCTACATATCTAACTCAGGGGAAAGCCTCAGTACAAGAGCCGTCATGCCTGTAAAGCACAGCTTAGCTTTTTGTGGTGTATTTAAGAAAGGGGGTGGCTAACCAGTTGGTTTTAAATACTCACTTCCATCTGTCAATCGAAGAAGACGCTTGCAGCCTGATGGGAAACCCTGGTCCATAGAAAGTAAGATACAGGCAGCAAGAGCACACCATCTAGCTTAGACCAACTCATCAGCCTGGTTAGCCACTGCTTTCAATCTGTTCTACAAACTGATGTCAGAGGTCAAAGGAATCTCCCAAGATAACAAATTCCTGCCAGTCTGTGTAGGGCCCAGGCCAAACTGAGCAGAGAAGTTTATACTTTGGTATTAGAATTTTTTTGAAATCAGCCCTTTCCAGATCTTTTGGCTTGCAATTTCTACCATCCTGATCATTGGCCATAGGGCTGATGGGAGCTGTAGTTCAAAACATTTGAAGGACCTAGAGTAGGGCAGGCTGTTCTAGACGAGACTTTTTCCAAGTCTCATGCAATCTGAATAAACACACCAGGTGGTCACAAGCCACATAAGGTACTGTGCCAATCCCCATGCTAATCACTGCTAGTACAAATGGTAAAAACAGGACTAAGCTGGATTAGTCCTGTGGGAGGTACAATGCAAGCAAGTAATGATGATAACACAAAAAACCCTAAAATTAATCCTCCCCTAAAATACTACTCACCCATTGCTAGAGTGTAGATTAGGCATGAGGGAAAGCTGCTGTCTCTCTTAACATCAGAAAAATAAGAGACTTCCACCAAATACCATCTATTGAAGACACTATAGTAGAAAATGCTTATTCCTTAAATCTAAGTCTAATAATCCCTGTGTATAGTAGTTGCACACCTTAAGCAAGAAGTCACAAGATATCTAGAAATTCAGCAAATATTGCTATTTTAACTTTTTAGCCAATAAGACAGTTCCAGTACAGTCTAAGATAAAGGTCAGATTCATTTAAGAGCTGGAGGCAGGAATATATAAGAAGATCACACTGATTAAGGCCTTGAAAAGCTCTTTCTGTTCAACATCAGTAACTCCCAAGTGGCTCTTTCAAGATCATGAGGCAAGCATAAACTGAACAGGCTTTCTGACACAATTAACCCAAAGGCACTACATATGCGCCCTTTGCCAGGGAAACCCATGTTCACAGACAGGAATTTTAAAAGAGTACCATACATGACTATTTGCAAAGACTAGACAAATGCCAGAACAGATACCTAGGACATTAGCCAATGTTACATGGAAATTACGTTATATAGACATTCCTAAGCATCTGGTTAATTATAGGTAACAGCAGCATCTATTGTTATGGGGCCAACGTTACAATATAAAATTGGAAACTAAAGCATATTAACCACATGATTAAAAGCCTTGGCACAATCATGTTTTGTTATTCCAAATAAGGCAACAGTAATGCTTTAAGAAAAAAAGGAAAGGGCTGTACTTAGTGGCAGAACACACAAGTGGGACACGTAGCAAAATGTTGCAGCATGAAGTGCTCTTCTTTAGTGTTTCAATCAGCCGTGCCTCTTTCAGATTACTTTCATCCTGTTCCATTCTCCCCCTCATATTAAGCTGTTTTGAGTTTATTTTTGCCCCCTTAAAGGGGGGAAGAATCCCCTTGTTCAAGCAACCTTGTGGTTTCCCTAAGCATGCTGAATGCCCCACTCTTGTGGCACCATTTTGCATACCCAGCTGTGGCAGTACATGTGTCTGACCTCTCTTTAGATAGAGATACAAAAACATACACCAGGGCACCTGTGCTCCCCAGTGATACTGGACAATTCCCATCACCCTAACCATTGGTCATGGTGGCTGGGGCTGATGAACTTCCACCCCAACAATATCTGGAGGGCCACTGACTCCCATTCCCTGGTATACATGTTACTTATACCTCCAGGCAGGGCTGGCAAAGACTCTTGTCTGAAAACATGTAGAGCTGTTGTCAATCAGTATCAACAACATTGGCAATGAATGGCCTGATTTGGTTTAAGGCAGCTTTCCAGTGAGTGTCAGAGGCAACTTATAGAAATAAAAGTATTCTTGTAACCTTTTCCTAGCTCTGTTTTAGGAGCTCTGTAGCAGAGTCTGGTAATTCTATGTCACCTGCTTGCTTGGATTCTATATTGTGTTTTATTCTATTTGTATTTTCTTGTATCATTTATATTTGATCAATTGTTGTTAGCTGCCCAGAGAGCTAATAGGCAGTAGAGCTAGAGCTACTGGGCATTCAATCAATCAATCAATCACATCTATCTATCAGCAAACAAGCAAGTCAACCCTAACTTACATGACTAGCAATCGGAGGGAAGCTGATTATATGGGACTAAAGTAAATATATTCATGACATCACACTATTAAGGTCAGCTCTGAATTTAGTTCATAGGTTAGAAAATGTAGTATGACTTTTTACAACCTGTGAAACTAACACACATGGCCATCCTGTTCTTCCTTGTAGTCTTCCCATACCTAGGTCATCTTAGCACAAGAGCAAAGAGAGTGAAAAGAGACAGAATCCTCTAGCAGCAGATTCTGTGGATGTTCCACATACACCCTCTTGATGTGAATTTATACTAGCCTGTCCCCTCTCTTCCCCTCGCACCCTGCAAGGAAGTTACTTTGTGCTGCTTTCCATACAAAAGTTATTTAGCTGGAAGCACAGCTGAATGTGCATTATGCCAGATTAAGCTGCTTACATTGCACAGAAAGAAAATAAAAAATGAACATTGTTTTTGATTATACTAAGCCTACCACTCCCTTCAGCAGAAAGTTGTTGATGCCTTTGAGTAGGAGCCTAACAACAGGAAGGATGGTGCCTGGACCCTTGCAAAGCTGCGGCAAACTCATCTGGGACCAGTTAATTATCTATATTTATATTTACATTTCTGGAACCTTACTTATTAGTACCTTGCAGAGTGCTTAATTAACAGAACTCCAGAAACAAGTATCATTATATTCCTGACATGCCCCTCACATGGTAACAATGTTTGCTTCCTTTCGACACCATGCATCCACTTCTCCACCTTTTTAATCAGCAGCAAAACTGTGGTTAGAAGCAAAAACTCAGCCCTTCACCAGGAGACTAGACATCACGGGAAATTGTTCCCTAAGTGTTGTGCATACACTCAGTTAAACCACAATGGTGGCAATTTGTGCTGTGCAGTCACACTCGCTTTGTCTTATTTTCAGTACTGAAACAAGCCCTAGGCCCAGCTGAATCCTTGCATGCCCTTTTCCCAGCGGTTGCCTTGTTTCATCTGTAGCTGTGTTTTATCTCTACTACATCAAGTCCTGTGACTTACCTACCATCCTCCATGCTTTTCTCTGAAAACCGCACAAATACAGCTGCAGAGAAAAATAAAACAAGCTCCCTAAGGCAGCTCCGTAATCTGAAGTCCTGTCCTGTGTTGTTATAATAGCATCACACCACAATCAATATAACATGCACAAGACAAGCCATAGCATGCTCTCCTGCGCTAGAAATGGCTGACAGGAGGACTTAGAGACACCTAGTGGAAAGAATAGTTATTAAGTATTTCAATTAACAAAATCTAAGCAATGGGAAGACTTTATGGTCCACCCCCGCTCCATTTATTTCTTCTTCTTACCAGCCACACCTTCTGAAAGCAATTAAAAGGCAAAGAAGTCTGTGTTCTAATCCAAAAGTTGTTTTCATCCATCTGGGATGGGCTCCTTTGTTACTCAGCAACTAGGCACTTTTCCCATCCAAGAGGAAAACAAGTTATAAAGCAGTACTTGAAATGTGCTGTACTTTTGATCAGCAGCCTCCAGATAACAGCACTCCCAGACAGCCATAAATCTTCCAAGAATTAATACTGTCCCCAGGACCACATTTCAAAGGAATTTTTAATCAAATGACTGTTTCTAAGGTTTGGAGTCCCTGGAGTTGGCTTTGTTGCTGCTTTTCTGTCCTGTCTGGTTTTTCTTGGCATAACTTCTTGTTAGTGTTGTTTTTAAAGAGACCAATAGCAACACATGAGATCGTTGTATATAGCAGACTTATACTAGCTGTCAGCATGTATGATCAGTTTGACGGACAGGATGGGAAGGGAAACAGGAGAGAGCAGTGGTGGTGTCAGAAAAAACTGCTTACAGTCTCTGAAATTGTCAAAAACAATTAATAGGATTTTTTTAAGGTTTAACCTACAAGGACAAAAGCATGCCCCAAGGTATTTCCCCTACCTCCATGATCTTGACTGCTGTACAAAGAGCAATTTGAGCCCAGAAACACCCTTTCTCACTGGAAGTTACTTCAAGGCTGACTTGTTCAGTCAGGATCCCATTTTGCACTCCTACACATGTTTGCAATCCTATGCAAGTATGTAATCCTATACATGTTTACCCAGATGTAAAGCCCACCATGATCCATGACACTGCCTAGTAAGTGTGGGTCAGGACTACCATTTTAGACACATAACAAGGTGTGGCTTGTTTTTGTGTAAACACATACTTAAACTCTTTAACACTTTTTAGCCCCTGCCTTATTCTGAGAGCAAATTAAAAGAAAGAAAGTGAGAGGACATGGTGCCATCTGAGCAAGAGATTTATCTGGTAAATACAAGGATCCACTTTTCTGGAGGGTGGGGGTGAGTCACAATATAGGAAATCATTACTCATTCTCTAGAAAGCACACAAACAACCTAAGAGCCTTGCTGGATCATGCCAAAGGCTTATCTAGTCCATCATTCTATTCCCCACAGTCACCAACCAGATGCCTCTAGGAAGCCTACAAAGCAGGCTTCAAGGGCAATAACTCTCTCTTGATCTTCTGCCCCAGCAAGTGGTATTCATTTGCCAGCCCCACCTAATCCTGGAGGAAGCAAATAGCCATTGGGCACCCATATACACCATGGATTCATCTAATCCCCCTTTCAAAGCCAAATAAGCTGGCAGCCTTCAACTCCTCTTGTGCTAAAAATGGCACAGGTTAACTAGGTGTAGATTTCTCCATTTGCAGGGAAATGTCAGGAAAGGTTCGGACATGTCATTTATATATACATATATGAGGATATAGAATGACATAGGGAATACACCCTAATGATTAATTCTTCTAGAACTGCCTAGTACTATTTTGATCAGAGAACATGTCAGTTTACATAATGCATAAGCCCAAGAGTCAAAGGTACAGGCTCTTTGAAGCCCCTTACCATATTGTTGTTAGACTTGCTAGCATGTGCTTCCATTTGCTGCCAATACTTTTTGGATTCCTCTACAATATCTTCATGGGTCATTCCTGGGATACCAGGAGAAAGGCATATTAAGAACTTCCACCCTCTAGAGTCTTGTTAGATTTTCAAAAACATTTCACTACTATAAAAGACAATTGTCATTTTATTAACTGGCCTTGCTTGATAAAGGCTGTTAACGTAACAGAATGTTAAAGCGTAGTTCATCACCTTTGCCAAGACCACAGACATGGTCTTTTTGCACAGCAAAAGGGGCAATGGCTGTTCCCAGTGCTATGTTGAGCTCTCGCTCCCTGCATAAGTTGAAAGGTGACATTACAGGGCACAAAATCCAGAAGTCCCGGGATCACCACCTTGCCTTGATTCAAACCCTGCCTTTTCCCACAGCCCCATCCTCCAGCTACTCTGTTAAATTATGGTCTTTTCCAGAGAATCTGCTTAAAGTTATTCTCTTTTTGTAGATTTTGTAGTGTTCCTACAGAACTTGCACCTCCAGTCATTTCCCTACTCATAAACATTGATGCAGTATTTTAATAATTACTGAACTGAACATGGGGACATTTACTTCTAAAAAAAGCACGGATGGGATTTTGCCAGAAGGCGCATGCATATATATATATAGAGTGAAGGCACTTACCTTCCTTAACTCACTCAGTAGGATCCCCATTGACAATTCAGTGAGGCAGAGAATAAGCATGTGGAACCCTACCGAACACTTGCTCAACCCTGGGGCACCCTCAGTCCTTTCTTCCTCCTGCCCAGGGGCCCACTCACCAGAGTACTGCTGTAGCAACCAAACTTTAAGCTCGATGAAACTATGAGCAAAGTGACAGCTGTCTTCACGCAAGCAGCCGTAACGCACTTCATGCCGGCACACATCAAACTGAAAGTGCTCCTGGAACTGGCGAATCTTAGAGTATTTCAGAGAGGTGGAGCGAACAATATGAACCAGACACCTGAAACAGAGAGAGCAATATTTACAAGCAGGTGGAATTCCCAAGCCTTTCAGCACATGTACACAACTGACTGAGTTGGATACACTGTGCTCACCTGGACTGAATGAAACCATGCCTGCACGGCCCCTGCCATGGAGTATTCTTATAGGCCCCTGAAGGAGGGGTCTGCCCACTGAGGAGTAACTGCCTCCAAGGAATGGAAGAGGGCAGTATGACACTCTGTCCTATTGCCAACTATTTCCCGTAGCTTCAACCTGTCTAGACTGCAAAGCTAAGTGCTGATTAGGGATGCTGCTGCTGTAGGCTTCAAACACATAGACACACATAAGTACATTAAAATTAAGGTGTTTTAAAAATACAGTATCTCCAAGGTGCTTACTGCTAGGATTCCTTTAGGATGAAAGTTTCATGCGTTTAAGTTTTATGGCCTTGGCAGTACAGCACTAATGGACAAATGTACAAGCTCTTTTATCATCACTTCTTAAAATGTCAGTGATACTGAGTAAATCTATAGATAGAAATAAATAATGCTGAGCCAGCCAGTCTGTCCATTTACAGCTTCTTGTGCCTCCTCCCTCTGGAGCAAGAGTAGAGAACCTTGTTCTATGCAGCCCTGAATGCCATCAGGCTCTCCAGATGCCGTGGGCCCAACTCTTGCCCTCCAGGCCATCACTCTGGAAATGGCTTCCTCTGAGCATGTGTATGTGCAGACAAATGCATGCACAAGACAGAGAGATGGATAAAGACAGGATGGGATGGCATGGAAAAAGGAGAAGCTATGCAATCCTGCAAGGCTGCAAACTCTTGCCTACTTTTGCTTCTGGCTCTGCCTACTATCAGCTGCTGCTCCTGATTCACTTTTCCAACAGATCAATAAACCTTGACAGGAAAAAGGTTTTTCAACATGGACAGAAGGGTCTAAAATCCAGACTACAGTATCAACTGCCAGAGATCCAAAGAAAATGCCATGAACAATGCCACCTGTCCCTAGTTAGTTGCATCCTTTCATGTTTTTGAATTATAAAGAAAACCCACTGGATGTTTGCCCCCATCAAATTCTTCCCATCTTCTACGCAGCTCTTGTTTTCAGCAGCTATGCTGAAAGACAATACACGAAGCTGAAATTCATAATCCTTATCACAATCATATAAGACAGACCAGTTTTATTTCTATACTGGAGAAGTGGTGCTAAGATGGTTGCCTTAGGAAAGGTACTACATGAGTTTGTGTCTCAGCTTGCCTTTAGAACCAGGCATGCCACTAGAAGAGAAGCCTAGCCCACTTACTTATTATCATAAAAGCTATGTTTTGCAGCTAAGTTGGAGCATACTGCCGGAGAGTCCTTGGTCCCTTTGCTGATTATTCGGGGTTTGCTGTCAAAGCAGATCTGCAAGCATACATAGAGAATGGGAGTTCAGGTTTTTATGTCTCTACAAATTATCATTAAACAGTAGTGTTTTCTATCACATTTTCACTACAGTGCAACCCTTTCCTATAAGAACTTAAATAATTTTCACAATAGCTATTTAAATACAGGCCATTAATACTGATGAAGAACTGAGGCTCTGAAGTTGCAGCTTGCTCCACATCTCCCACAACCAAGCACTCCACCCATTCGAACACAATGGCTCTCTGCACAGTCACTTAGAGAGAACAGGATACTTATCCTAATGACTGCAAAAGCTAAAGACAGTGATGTTTTTGTTCTTTGTTCCTCACACTATTGTCTACTTTCAGTGTCTGCATCAGGACTGACTGTGAAGCTATGTGCAAAGCAGCTAAAGCAAACTAGACAGGAGATTCCAGAGGAGTACTATTATCCTGTGTGTCTTTAAAACAGATTTTCAGCTAACTGGGACAGCAACTCCCATTGTCCCAAACCTATAGTTGAACACACCCAGTGGGTACCAGGTTAAGGAAGACTGCATTCAAACAATGAGCTGCGATGCAGTCCAGAAGTGCATGGGAGGGGGGATTTTGATGTTTTACTTCCAAACAAAAAATGTCTGAAGCAGTGCTAGATGAAATGGCTGAATGGTCCAGCTATAGTTAAAATAGACAAGAAGAGGACTCTAGTGGGAGGACATTTTGTATGTCTCCTACATCATACCTCACAAAGAAAAGTAAATATCCCTTGGTGTTCTTTCAAGATCTTGGAAATGGTGAGGCTGCCCCGCTTGACCCCACCCAGGGGATCAAAGAGGAGGTCTCGATTGAGGGTTCCTTTCCGTTCCTCTGTCCACACGTCGATCTCCTCCTGGTGGTACGCGAAGGTGCAGTTATCCCCGTACTTACAGTCCTGCTTGTTAAGCATATCTATAAAGCAACAAACATCACACCACCACACATGGAACGGAGGCTGGGATCAGAACCATGGTCTCTTGCTTCCCTTTCTTTTGTTTCCTTCTTCCCACCCACCCCAAGCTTCACAAACAGTTAAAAAGAAATAAAAGTTCTCACATCTTGATGTAACCCGTCATTATAATAAAATGATCCTTGATTGTAGACCCATTATTCAAGCTCTGTTGGCAACACATGCCATCTACTTCTAAGTCCCAGTGACTGAGAGTCAGTGAGCTTCTTCCATATTTACTCACTTTCTTCCCAAAATAGCCCCCATTCAATCTCTATCTCCTCCTTCCAACTCACCTTTGCACAGATAGTAAGATCCCACAAAATTGGTCTTGGTTGGGCGTGGCCGGATTCTCTTCCAGGTCTTATCTTCAGAGTTACGGCGTCTACCTAGCAGTATATCCCTTTTGCACTTGTGGTCCAGACCTTCTCGATAGGTATAATCCCCAGCCTTTGGCCCTACAAGGGGAGGACAAAATTAATAAGGGTCCAGCCTTGCTAAGAACATTTGGCCCATGTCATCAAGTGCAGATAACCTGTTTTGGGATAGCAGATGTGACAGGCTTGTTTGAAGATGTGAGTAGATGCTAGTGGATTCTTCACAAGCAGTGCTGTGTTGGGCATCCCTGACTCTGGCTGAGGCATCAGCAATTCCACCACTTTGGGAATTGTGTGACTTGGCCCAGTATGGTTTGCCTGGAAAAATAACAAAAAGAAGTTGGTTATAAATCTCACCAAAAGTTAAGTCATGCTTCCTCCAAGGTCCTTCAGTTCAAGGACAAGAAGACAGAAGCAAGCAGATTAAAAGAGTCCATGCCTTCATTCTCAGCACATGACAGCAGAGAGGTAGCTCTTAACACACAGTCCATTCAATTAAACAACTACCTCTCTATGTGTAGCAAAAGATCATCCATACTCTTCTAGGAGGTTCCTAAGTTAATTCATAAAGTAGTAATTCATTTTCATTCTACGAAGCAAGATGTAGTTATAGAACATCCAGGTCAAGCCACTTTTCAGAAGAACAAACCTCAGTGCTTACTTTACACGGAAGGATTGCCCTCTGGCATAACTCCACTGGAAGAATAGTCAAGTTGCTCCCAAACTTTGTGATCTATCAAAAATAAAATTCTAGCCAAGACTGGGAGTGAACAAACAAATACTATGAAACAGCTGCCACATTATACCAATTTAGTGCAATGGCTTGGATGAAACTTGGGAGCATATGACTAGGAAACTATACTAGAACTTTGACTTACACTGAAACAGAAAGCTTACTTCCATCCATCTCCCAATTCAGAGAGAGCCAACAACTCACCATTGGTGGTGGCTTCTGGATTCCAGCAGGTTGTCGTGGTTCTTGTGTGCTGGTTTCTTCTAAAGAGTAGAAGAAAAGCAGCATTCAGATGATTTGTCAGGGTAAAACACCATAGGACTACCTATAGGAACACTACTACTTATAAGCACCTATCCAAAAGGCAGCAAAAACCCAAGTTCCATGCTCCTTTAGCATGCAAAGCAAGTAATTTCAAGAATTTAGTGGGAGACCACACTAATTTTGAAAACATATTAGTGGCATTTTTGCACAGCTTCATTACAATGGAGTTTTTATGGGAGAGCTTCCCTGCAGTGCTTCCATGCAGCAACAGAAAAAGTATTTTTAGTCTATCAGACTTCCTTGTTAGAGAAAAAAACCTATGCCAAACTGCTTAAACTTGTCTTAGTTTATCCTAAAACATTTTCCCTGCCTCTTTCTTCAATGAGTTAATTTTCTCTGCACCATCTTGTTATTCAATTCATGCTTCTAACTACATGCATTTCTTTACAGATGTTGTTTAATCTATACTGAATTAATGTATGCAGGCAGCTGCTATTTATCATTGTTTACTGGTAACCACAAGTCAAACATTTGCAATAGGTTTTATAACTAGCAAGAAATGATTTGGAGATAAAGGGGATAAGCCAGGAACTGTGGGGGGAGAAGAGTGAATTAGATGACAATGGAGGAATATACCTTCAGCCATGGGTAGTTGATTCCTTGCAGTAAAGTGCCCAGAACTCAATATAGAATGTTGATGCAGCATTACTGTTCCTGCATCACAATTCATATGGAATTCTAATAGGTCTCAAATACGTACCTGAGGCAAAAGAATCCAGTGCATCCAGTGATCCCCTACTAGTTCCAAAAGCATCTAGCACATCAAGACGGGATTCTGTATATGGAAGAAGGTCTAGTGAATCCAATGAGTCCAAAGGGGAGCTGCCACTGCCACCCACAGGTGATTCAAAGGCATCCAAAACAGATGTGGAGGAGAGTTGCTTTGTGGCATCCATCACCAGGCCAAATGAGGCAGGTGGGAGTGGTGTGGAGACTGGAATGTTGGCTGTCACCACAGGAGGGAGCAGTGGAGTGCCACCTGGAAACACAGGGATCAGCTGCGGCATCTCACTAGGCAGACTGGCAGGGATGGCACCTTGCACCAGAGACTTCAGTGGGAAAGATAAGACATGTCACAATTAGAAGGGAGCAAGAAAACAGAATAGACAAGCAAGTAAAGTGTCACAGGGCACCATGACAGTTGACATGTAAGACTAGCTCCCAGTTATTTTCCCCAGTACAGCAGTAAAACCAACTTGTGCCTAAGCATAGCTTCACACAGTTCCTCTGTTCTAAAGTCCAAATTACACTCTTACTGCTGTTAAATGGTAAACTGGCATCAACATTAACCATGGCTAAGGCTAACCAAGTGTTGAGTCAAGGCTGGATACAGGATAGGGGAAAACATGCAGGCAGCAAGCAAACAGCTCAACTGGGACAGACTCCAGGGCACCACAAGGCAAAGAACAGAAGACAAATGGAAAAAATGAGTTGTTGACTAGCTTGTTAGTACCCTCTTCCCACTTGTCTTATGCAATTATGAGGCTGGAGCCAGAGAAGCTCAAACAGCCTCAGATGACCTAGCATTCAATGGCAGGGTGGGTTACAGAGGAAAACAAACACACAAGGCTTCCCTCATTTGCCTTCCCATCATCCAGATTTTTTGGATTGTAATTCCCATCATCCTTAACCATTGACCATGCAGGTTGGGGCTATGGGAGTTGTAGTCCAAAGCAACTAGGAGACACAACCTTGGGAAAGGCAGATCGTACGCAGCCAGGTTTTGCCTTCAAGGTCTGGCTGCATATGAAAACAGAAAACTGAGATGAACAGGCACGTATTTAAGAAATTCTCTCTTACCAATGCATACTGTGACCCATCTGTGATAGAATCTAAGATGGAGTCCAGTTCATCCCCCAGAACTCCTCCTTCAGTGAAATCATCCACACACTCAGAGCCTGGCATGGACGCAGCATCTGTAGAAGGGAGCAGGGTGGTGGCAGGGAGTGACGTTGGCGCACCTTTTGTATCCAAGTCAGATGATGCAAAGGCAGGGCCCTCACTCACAGCAGCAGAGGCCACACTGGGAGCAGTGATGCACTGGAGGCCCACAGAGCTGTCTGCAAGGGGAATCATTAGATCATGGCTGGCTGGCAGCGCACACACATTCCCGCCAGGTGGCAAAACATGAAACTCAGAAAACCCCCACTTGGAAGTATAGCAATGTTACTTTAGAACCAGCTCAGAATATTTGTCCATCTAGCCCAGCATGGCCTACTCTGACTGGCAGTGGCTCTCCAGGGTTTCAAGCAGAGAGCTTTTTCTTTCACGTGCTACTTGATCCCTTTATTTAAACTGCCAAAGCCAGAGGACCCTTCTGCATGCAAGTCATACACTTGACTGCTCAGCTACAGTTTCTCCTGCTTTCAAAATATGACAGCTGGCCTTTCACTAAATGGCTATTAGGCAGATTATATTCCAGAGCAGCCTTCTTCTACCTGACATCCACCTTATTTTTTTGCAATACAAATTCCAGCATTCCTGACCACTGATAGGAGCTGAAGTCCAGAGCACCTGGAGGATAAGATCAACTGTTCTAAAGTCACATTCCTAACCACTGCTTTATAATATACGGCTCAGACATACCTTCTAATCTTTACAGCAAGGTTGCAATATATCATGGGGTTTGGATTTCCTCATGACCCTCATGCATTAGGAGCTTCAACCTGCCTTGGTTCTCCTGCCCAACTACACTGTTGATGTGAACAATTGCAAGAACAGCACCAACTTCCCAAAGAGAAAGAACTTGCCTTTCCCCATGAGCATTTCCTGCAGCTCCAGTTGTATGCCTTAGTGACCTAGCAAGCAAACAGCCAGATGATCTGCAGCTATCTGCACAGCTTTTCTGAAGTTACAGCTGAGTCATTAAGAGAGAAAGCAATAACAACAAATCAAAGGAATATAAAACTATCACCTGTCTCAATGTCATCTACAGAGCCCAATGCATTGGAAACAGTCTGTAAAGAGACAAGAGAAAGAGAAAAGACCACATTCAGTTTTTTTCTTAGCTGGTCCTGTCATTCAATTCCCTTCTCCAATTTCCATAAGGGCACACACAGGAACTGTTGCTTTTTCCCCTCTCTGCTTTGCCTTACCTTTGCTTGTCTACTGACATATATACTAACTATGAATCCAGCACCTCTCCCTCTCAAAGTCAGCTGCTGAAAATAAGAAGAATCAGCTGCTCCTGAGCTTCTCCAGTGGAAGGTTGTATGGCCAAATAGGTATGCATGAATCCACAATGGACTCATACTCAGAGTGTATGGACAAATGCACCCTTATTTCCATGTTCACCCAGATTTCCCCAAAATGGTTTTTCATTGCCCACATTAGAGAGAAGGTTCCCAGATTTCACATGGAACAAGACTCTTCTGCCTTCACAATTGTCAGGAATTTGAGCAGATGCCATTTCTCTCTCCAATGCAACTCTGTGCAGCTGTTGAAAATCTCCTCTTGTTGAAACTATTAAAGAAACTAGAGACAGTACAACTCTGGAGCATCTGCTGTTCTACTGAAGCTTTCTTTGTCAAGAGAAAAAACTATTGTAACTACATCCAGAATTAAAAATAAGAAAAGGAAAGGCATAAACATGTAAAATGTTAAAGCACAAGTAGAGTAAAAATAAAAAGAAATATATTTTCTGTTCACTTAGAACAATCCAGAATAAGTATGTGAAATGAGAAGATACTTGCCCTTTCACCAGCAATTTTGCACATAGTTCAATGGTAGTACTAGACAACTGCAGTGAGTTTATGGAGTAGAAACAAGTGAAGCATGTGCATCTGTCTGATAACAACAGTATGAGATGGGGAAAATTCAGAGGCTTAAATCTCAACTGAAAGCTAATGTTCTCAATCATTTTTCCAAAAAAGAATAGGTATGTGCAAAAAGAGAGATTGAGTACAGCAGGAAAACAGAAAACAGGCTCCTCAATAAAATATGTACCACAACCCTAATGTGCAATTTCCAAGTACTACTGCAGTTAGGGAGAAAAGAATGAGTTTCCAATTATTTCATCATCAGAACAAATCTGGAGTATCATTAATACACCAAGCATAAGGGGGTCAACTTGTAATGCAAACATGGACCACAGACCATTTTATTTATTACAGTTATAATGTAATGTTTCTTCCAAGGCAACAGAGATGGAGCTTCCAGGATGACTCCCATTTATTATCATGACACTACATTTATATCCTCCCTGTCTCCACACTCTTCTGAGCAACCTAAGGTGGCTTACACAGCTCCATTTTATCCTCACAACAACAACCCTGAGAGGTAGGTCAGTCTGAGAGTCTGTAACTGGCTCAAAGTCACCCAGTGAGCTTCCTGGATGGGTGGCGACTAGAACATGGATCTCCCAGGTTGCCAATTCAGTATTCTAACCAACACACCAGTTCTTAGACACTGAAGAGACCCCTACTGTTATGGCTGCTGCATCATGCACCTTTAAAGCATGCCCTGAAGGGCAACTAAAGTACTCATAACTAAATTCCCTCTGAAAACAGTAAGACATGTTAGTTATCATCACTGTGTACCACTGCTTTGGTCACAGTGAGCTTTAGATGGGACTGATGCCTTGCAATTTGAGAACTGCTGCTTTACAGAAAGTGAAAGCCCATCCATATGAGACCAGCTGCATGATTCTGTACACACTGCTGTGTACAATAAGAATAATCTTGCGCAAGCCATATGTCATATCAAATCTTGCCTAAACCTCATAGAACATGAGATTTTATTATGCATACCTTACATAATTGCAATTTCTTTAGTTGGCTAAGTTAAATGCCACCAACATAAATCAGAGCTGAAAGCACACACCTAAGTCACCATCCTCATCAGAATAACTCACACAGAGTTCAATCTACTGCAATCCTATAAATGCTTTCTTGGGAGCCCTGCTAAAAAGGCTTGCAGAGGCTTAGACTGCTAGTCAATAAACCATCTTCAATAAAAACACCAAAAGAACACACTGTGTTCCATTTTCAGTTTTAAACCATCAAGCTATCTAAGGATTAAATAAAAGAGAAACTTTAAGTGTTAGAAAGCAGACTATTATTTAGTGTTTCTACTTCTCATAATGGGAATTTCTTCCAGATGGGAACTTCTTCCAGAAGTGGTAATTCGAAAATAGTTTCAGCTTTTATAAAAGGTAAAAGGAAATTAAATACTATGCAAGTATTACAAAGAAATGAATACATTTGAAAGCATCACTGCAAAAAGTCAACAGTGCCCATTCTTCCAGTATAGCAGTGGCATAGCTCTACCTTGCTAGGCTATGAGATTGTTCTGACATTAGAAATATCAAGTGAAGTTAACTGCACTATTTTTGGCATTATCTGGAAGTCACATATTTTTGGAAATCAGTCTAAATTTTTATGTTGGTCTCTTAATTCTGATCCAGAGAACCTGAGGGTGGGCCACTCATCAAGTACGTACATCAAGAGAATGCAAGAGAATTAGAGCAGGCTAGGAAGATAAAACATTCTCCACTATGCAATGATGGGAGACCCCAGTTCCACAGTCACTCTGAATCCTTGACCAAGGCTAACATTTGCAAACACTACAGTGATACAGGCTGAAAAGAAGAAAGAGTTTTAGATCCCTTTCAACTCCTAGAAGGTAGTTAAAAGCATTTAGAAAATTAGAAGTATATATATTAAAAAAAACTCCCACCACTCTGTCTAACAGTGAACTCAGCTAGTGAGTTCTAATAGGACAGGTGCCAAAATGGGTCCACTGAGAAACAAGTGAGAGAGATCAGTATGCACATGAGAACCCTAAAAGTTGCAGAGCCACAAATATTTTCAGAGAAACAAACCCAAAGAATTCAATGAAGACTAAGCATGTATGTGCAGTAACTCCAGAATACAGAGTGCCTGAGAGCAGGGGTGCTGAAAACAAGAAGAAAGCAGAATGGAAAATTCCTGGAAGAGGACATAGCTGACTGACCACAGCCCTGAGCAGAAGCATTCCACACTGCACCTTTGGACTGCTGGTCCCAGTTGTAAAATTTTTATAATAAAGGCCTACCTGATTTTGTAAGGTGGATGAAAGGCCATTGCTGAGTAGAGAAAATGTTTCCAATTCCTGCTGTAAGGAATAGACAGTAGCAGACACTTAAAAGAACAACCATCAATGACAAGAATCCAGCACCAAGTCACTTCCTCATAAGACAGGATTCACAACCTGGATTTCAGTGTTTCTATAGCACTGGCTATAGAAAGCCTTGCATTTGCTAGCAGCCGCACTAGTGAAGGAAGCCCATCCCTCATCTCTGATTTCTCCTGACACAGCAGAGATAAGGAAATTGTTTCCCTTGATACAGTTAGCCAGGTGTATATATACAGTTAGTGTACATAGCACTAACAAGGGAAAGCCCTGTAGATCATGGGTCCTCAAACTACAGCCCGCGGGACAGATCCGGCCCGCCATGCCCATTTATCTGGCCCGCACCACCGCCCGCATGCGGAGCCGCCTTGCCACGCAAGTGGGAGATGGTGGCTTGCTCACTTGGGAGATGGTTTTGGACTCGTTGGGAGATCTCTGAGAGAGCGAGCTGCTGCTGCGGGCGCCCAACGATGACTCACTGGCCCACACGCCCCGGCCCCCTCTCCTTACCGGCCTACGCCAGTCACCACTGCCTTTCAACTGGCCCCCTATTGAAAATGTTTGAGGACCCCTGCTGTAAAGCAAGGAGGAAAAAGCATGCATCCGTGTGCACGCATGCATGTGCGGAGGAGGGGGGATGCGAACAAATGTGCATGTGAGTGTACATGGATAGGCCTGGCACACACCCAATGCCAAAAACATTGGGGTCAAAAACATTGTGCATCCCTGAAATAAGCAGCAGCCAAACAAACAGAATGACTGTGACAATATTGTATTCATCTTATCATCCCAGTGCCATACACACAGCACAAGACATGCTTAGATAGGTCAAGCATGAGTTACATGCTATCCACAACCAAGAACTGACTACCATGTAGGAATTCATCCTGAGTGAAGCAAACACTAAGCCTTAACAAGAGTAGAAGTAGGTTTTGTGTTGCGCTGGTTGCCATTATGTATGCTCCCAGACACCTTAGGTCTAAATCATTCAATTTTGCAACATTATATTTTTTTCGGCGCCCGGCAAAAACCTTTCTATTTGCCCAGTATTTTAATATTTAATTATTTTAACTAGGTTTTAACATTGTTATGCTCAGCTATGCGTTGTTATGCTTGTTATGTTATGTTGTATTATGTTGTATTTTGTTGTATTTATTTGTTTATTTATGGTTGTAAGCCATCCTGGGATGTTTTGTAAAGGACAGGATATAAATATTGTTAATAAATAAATAAATAACATCTGCTGTTGAAATTCTCTATTTACATGGGAAAGGAAGTGCCTCAACTCACTATTCAGCTGGCATGGGATCTTGTGAAATCGTAAACACTCAACCTTCCTCTGGTTCTAATCTTGCTGCACCACCTATTGAACTGGCCCTTGAAACCCCCCAAGGCAGGAGTGAGCAACTTGTGGTCCTCCAGATATTGCTGAACCTCAACTCCAATTATCCCTCAACAAATGCTAAGCTGGCTTGGTCTGACGGATACTCCAATCCAAGGAAAGCTGGATGGTCACATTCCTGCCCTAAGAGGCATCCTACAAGATATTCTACTTTTAAGTCTTGGTACCAGAACACAAGCAATCATCTCCCCGAGTGGGGAGATGACCGCGATCGTGCTGGGGGCGTGGGGAGGGGGAAGATGGCTGAGATCCCACCCGTCTCTCCCTCCCCCAGAGTGCCCCATTCACACCCGTCTCTCCCTCCCCCAGTGTGCTGGGATGACGGCCGCGTGTAGGGATGACAGGCGTGATCTCAGTCGTGCTGGGGGAGTGGGGAGATGGCCTCGCTTGTGCTCAGGGTGGGGAGGGAGAGATGGCCGTGATCTTTGTTGTACTTTGTCACTTTGCTTCACATTTTTCTGATTTTAAAAATGGTTACAGAGTGGATTAACCTTATTTACATTGAACCTTATGGGGAAATTAACTTGGCTCATGACCAATTTGGGTCATGACCAGAGTCCTGGAATGGATTAAGTTCGTGAGCCAAGGTACCACTGTATTTGCTCTACTTTTCCAATAAAACCTTATTTCTGAAAAAGCTGTCACTTCATTTTCATAGTTCCCTCAAGTACTTTAGACACCTATTCAGTTACCTAGACCAAACTAAATCCACACTTGTGTTTTTGTTAAAATATAAGTTTGGGACAGCTCTAACAGACAAATAGCAACATGTCCTTCAATAAAACAGTATCACAGAAGAAAAATAATCCCACTACCACCACATCTGAGCTAAATTCCCCAAGGAATCCGTGTTCTGGAAGAGCTTATTCCTTGAACACAGAGTAGACTGCAGATGTGATTAAAGACACATATCCCAAGCAAGCACACTATCTCTAAATGCTCTCTAAAATTTTAGAGAAAACACTCTCTGAAGTTTTTATGGGCAATTAGACAAAAATATTCTGTTCTGAATTTGTTAGCTGAATTCATTTGGCAACTTCTAGTTAATGATGCACATTCTCCAATTCTATTCTTGCAACCATGTGGTACAATCCCAAATGGAAATAAAATCATACAATTGCAAGGCAAAAGCTACAGCTAAGAAGCAAAAATAAAATGATGTGCCTATAAGATATTAACTACCTAAAAATGGTAACATTTATCCTCAAAGTAGGGTGGAGTACAGAGCACTCATCATTCTAACCTTCTGGTTTGCTCATACAACATTTATGCACATTTACATTCAAACACAGACAGCAATTATCACTCCCGTGAGAACAACTGTGGCTAGTTCAGACTTGCTCAACCAACCCACACCAAACTCAAGTCAGAGCACCAGCTGTGTATAGCAGCACATCAGGAGCACCAACATATATTCCAATTTCTGCTCACTCTCTAGAACTACATAAACAGAGGTGAGTACCAAGCAGCTCAGGAGGTAACTATGCATTGCTGTTAAGCTACAGCTTCATGGGTCACATGACATGAAGTTCTGGGAGAGAGCACTAGGTCTGGCTGTTGAACCCCAAAATCACATTTCCACCCAGCCATGATGCTCAACAATTTGCCTGCAGTAAAATCATTATCTCTCAGTCTAGCTTAGCTTCCCCCAATGGATATATTGTACTACAAGTCCCACAATCCCCAGCCAGCCATACTAGCTAGAACAATCAGAGTTGTGTTGAGCAACAATCGGAGTTGCTCAACACATTCAGAGGACATCAGGTTAGGGAAAACTAAGCTCACTCTTTTCCAAGGATCACTGAGAGGATAAAAATAACAATACCCAATTAATTCTAACTGAAAGAGTGAAATACGAATGCCATACCTGAGGCCTCTTATATGCTTTCCGAACCCTTAATCCCAGCTTCTGTGCAAGCTCCTGGCCAAGCTGAGCCACACTTTCATCCTTCAGTAGAGAAAAAAAAATTAAGATGTATTTATTTTTTGTAAAAACCTTTTCATTTGATTCTACAGATAAAGTAGTAAGCCTCTCTTATTTCCTAACTTCAATTAAAACAAAAAGCAATAATCTAATGTGGATGTTTTTGCTTGTTTGCATGTAATGGTACTGCACATAACAAACACTATTATTTGGGTGAACAATGGATTTTGTTCACTCCACATGAACACATCCATATGCAGAATTGTGTACAGTCAAGTTAACCTTGCATAGCTTTGTTTTGCATAAGTTATTCTATGTACAGTGTTGTTCTTTTGAAACCTGTCCTAAAATGGTAGCAAATCTATAAATAAATAAGAGGAAGTAAACTGGGATAGACGAATAGGGCACAGAGACAGGGAAATGTGAGAGTTGGAGATTGTAGGAGACACAAGAAAACTGCTTTAAGGGCAAGGAATCTACCAGAAATATCCATATATTCTCTACACTGTATGTAGAGAAAGAATTGCTTGATATTTGGGGAACTGCCACATTTGTGCTAGCAAATGGATTCTCTACCACATCCATGCATTAGTTGATAAGCAAGATCTGCAAGATTTCTCAGTTCCCTACTGATAGCTTTTTTATTGCACTATTGCTTAAAAAGGCAGAGAGCAAATGATGAGAAGAGGATAACAGCTCTGAACTTTGCGCATATTGACTTACTTAAAAATATTTAGGGCACAATTCTATGACCCCCTAGATATTGTCTGAGAAGTCATAATACATTAGGGCTTACCACCTTCAAAGCTACAACTTTGAAGATGACAATCCTGGTTCCACCTTTACCACCTCTCATCAAGCTCAACAGCAGCTTCTCTTGGCTGAGGAAAGCAAAGGGGAGACAGGCCAGTGGACAGGAAGGAAAAGAAGTTAGAATATGCTCTCCCACATGGCCTCTCCCATGCTGGGTCCACTCCAATCTACACACTCACACTCCATTCAGATAGGCCAATCTAGTGGAAAAAAATAAAAGATGAACAGAGAGCTGAAAACCACCTCTGCCACTCTTCTCCCATGCCAGCAGGACATGGAAAACTTAGATGCCTCTGAGATCAGATGTTTAGGACTGCACCCTAAGGTGTTTTTTCTATTTATCAATACCCCCTCCCCTGAATATCTGTAAATGTCTATTACTACTTACGTGCGGGAGGGAAAGCAAGCAGCGGCTGTTACATTCATATGCTTCCTTGTGCCTTCCTAGCTCATTCAGGCAGCGGGCTTTCCGGAAGAGTGCACGGATGTTCTCACTGTCGAACCCCAGAGCCTTCTCACTGTCTTCCAAAGCCTTCTCATACAAGCCCTTTTGAAAAAGGAAGCAACATCATCCTGAGATCTTTCACATATATAGATTCTACATGTTTCCTTCCAGGCAAGTTCTGTCCCAAATAATCCACTGCTCTTAGATACAGTGTGTAAGGGAAAAGAAGGGGGAGCAAAAGAGACAGCTAAACAGACATGGCTTGCAGAAGCAGCTGATTAGCCCCTGGCCTTTGGGACAGGGACTGATAGTTGGTGTCCTACATGGACACTAAATGCATGATTTACAATACACACTCTCCTGCTCTCCAATGACCCGAAGGTTAATAAAGCTGTCACATGGCATGAACATTAGTAGCCTGATAAAAGTTTCATCCTCTACCCAGTTCTTTTGATACTAATGTGTATAGGGAGAAGGGGAGATTTTGCACATGATGCAGGTTAATACATGTGTCTCAGCTCAGACAAAATGACAAATCTTGCTGTCCAACAGCAATCCAATAACAAACCTCTGGCTTATATTCCCCCTTTCGTCCACGCTTTGCATGTGAAAGAACAAAAAAGATGCTTCTATTTCATGTTTGATGAAAGGAATGCACTAGCCTCAGGCTTCCTGCTACTCATTGTCACAATAACAAATCATGACTTGCCCTTACATCTCTGCGGAGCCTGTGTGTGCTTTTATACTTTTATAGATATACACACTCCTGTCCAAATGGACTGTAACCCATGTTCATCAATAAATGCAATTGCCTTCAAGATGCCAGAAGTTTCCTAGTTTTTGCTACTCCTCTAGAATTTGACACTTCTCAGGAAGGCCAGCTTTATGTTCTAGGAAACATGTACCAAAGCACAGCAGTCCACCACCTCAATTCTTACAATGTCATCTCCACCTCTGTGTGCTATGCCACCTTTTATAACAAGAATACATCATATTCCCCATACTTCCCCTTGACTATTTACATGCCTTTCACCTGCTCCAGAGGAAAATGACTTTATGGTTCATCCTTTAACCATCACATGTTGAATGTGCAACATCAAATAATGGCCTCTATGTGAACATGAGCCAGGCAGATCTAAAAATTACTTCATAAAGTACTTTTCATTGGAGCCTGTTCACACATTCAGCTGTAAGTTATCAAGTGAGGGAAGATTAAACAGAGTGCAAGCATGTATGACTTAATCCTAAGCACACTCACCATGGCAAAGTAGCAGGCAGCTCGATTGACATGCAGCTTGCATAAAAGATCCAATGGAATGGTCACTTCATCAGACGCTGCATACTCAGCCACATTCAGTCCTTCTACATACTGCACCAGTGCCAGTTTGAAATCCTTCTCTCTGAACAAATCATTGCCCTCTGCGAATAAGTTTTGCACCAGCTTTTGCAAAAAGGCCTGTAGGAAGAAATAGAGAGAGAACGTGTCACAGAAGTTGCAGGGTACTTTCAGGCTTCCCACTCCAAGCAACTTCTAAACCACCAGGTTTTGCTGGGGGAGATGAGCAGGGCCATTTCATCTGCCCTACTTGAAAGGCCTCCCTCACCAAGGCTCCTTCCCTCACAAACATGGCCATCAGAAGCCATTCAAGCTGACAGGGAAAAAAAGAGGGACAGCTGGGCCATTCCACCAGTTCTGATTAAAGAACTATCCCACTCCACCCCAATCCTTCCCCATTCCTCTTTTCTTGTGTGTCCTGTTATTTTGTATTTTAAACATGTAGCCAGGGACTGTCTTGTTTAAATGACTGTATGTAAGCTACTCTGGGAGTCTTTTTTGAGCAGCAGCACAAAAATACATCAAATAAAAATAAAGACTAAATTACACTTTCTTATAATAGAAAAATACACAACTAGGGCAATCCTAGAAAGCTACATTCTTCCGCTCACAATTTTGTGAGCAAGAACTAGCCAACTGTGAGAAAAAGCTGGAAAGCCATACCGTATCTGTTTTTTCTTTCTACTATGTCCCATCACATTATTACAGTTCACTATAGACCTGCCATGTTGCACAGTGTGCTGTTTTCACAACACAGTGTAAATAGAACCCAGCAAGAAACAAAAACATGGTACAGCCCTCCCTAAACTTATAGTAAAAGTTGGTGTGAGGGAACTTTATCACCACCACCACCATCATGGCAATTGGGGGCCAAAGTTCTGTCAAGTGAAGAGTTTACAGAGCAAAGGAACAGCTCAGTGCATAAATGGACTCAACTAAAATCAAGTTTCCCATTCTGAAACCCATATTTGCTGAACAAGCATACATAATAACTGGTTGTTGTAGTAATTAAAGGATATTTGGTGGAAGCTTAATAGAGCATTATGCAACCTAGAAGCAGAACTCAAACCATTTGATGATTCAACTCACAAGCACCATGCTACAGCATTACATTTTCTGCAAGGAAAAATAGCTTGTCTCTTGCTGTTCCCATACAACAATACTAAGCAAAATGCTAAGCAGTTCTATACATACATTTTGGGAAAAAAGTCCGATTGAATAAAGAGGGATTTCCTTTCAAGCATAAGGCCTTCCCGATGCAAACTCTGTTTATTCCTTTGCTGTCAGGTTAAGACTGCCATTGTCTCCAAGGCCTTCATTTGCATATAATAGCATATTAGGGCATTTATATCAGTCTAGTTATATTGAAATTGTTTTAGCTGCTCACATTGTTTTGCATTCTGTTTTCAATTTTATATATTAGAATTTTATTCTGTTTTATTTTATTTGTCATTTGTAATTTTTATGAATGGTTGTGAACTATCCAGAAAGCTTCAGCTATGTGGTGGTATAGAAATGAAATAACAACAACAACAAATGCATAAGAGCAATGTCCATAATTTACAAGAAGCAAAGGCTTATATTTGCTAGGCAAAACAGTGCCGGGAGGTAAATCCCCTTGCCTCTTACTTAATAAATTCAAAAATATTCATGATTTGAAACTGAACCCATGGGAGGACTCAGGAATAAAACAAGCATAGGCTTGTGCTTAGCCATCAGATTAGCAAACTTCATCAAAGGGAATCTAGGGGAGTGTGATTCTGCTGATTTACCTGGACCTCATCAGTCATGGCATTCTTCTGGTCTGCCTTTTGGAATAGAGTGGGCAGTGCTTTGTAGCAGGTCTGTTCTTAACTAGGCTTTCCAGCTAGATAAATGTCCCCCACCTCAGACTTCAGGATTTAATATTGTCTTCCTTATAACATTTATATGAAACTGCTAAATGAAGTTGTCAGAGGGATTGGAGATCAGTGTCATTCTCCTTTTCATCAAATCTGAGATACTTTAGTCTGTGCTTGTGATTAGCAGTAGACTGGATGAAGATGAACAAAGTAAAAGTCAATTTAGATAAGAAATGGAAGATGCAGAAGTACAGTTAGTGGGGGAGATGTCTGTTTCAAATGAGGTCACACTCTCTTGTGAAGATCAGGTGCTTAGCTTGTGAATATGGATGGACCAAGTATTGGTCCTAGATTCCAAGGTTGTAACTGTGGCCTTGTATAGGAGATACTTCTACTGTCCCTGCTGCTCCTGGAAGATAAGAGACCTGGACACTGCTATTTACATGTTGGTAACTTCCATGTTAAACTATTTTACTAGGGTACTACATTGTGCTCCACAAGGGGCTACCTCTGATGACATTTTAGTAACTTTAGCTAGTACAGAATCATCAACTCACTTGCTTGGATCTGTTCAGGGTTATAGTATATTGGGTACAGGAAGACCAGCTAAAGATTTTTAGATAAACTAAAGTTTAGGGACACAAAAAGCCACAATGACTGGCTGTTGCTGTTTCAGCTTGGAATATTTAGCTGAAAGGGTTTGTCCTTGGAGGATGGAATGCAGGAGACTGTTCTGATCATAAACCACTGAGGCTCTGAGAAGGAGACAGCATTCAGTGTAGTTTTTACATGATAGAATGGTGCCAATAGTTTCTCCCTAGGTATGACAACCTGGGCAGGCTAGCTTCCCTCTGGAATCAACATCAAAATATGAATTTAAATCTTAAAATCAACATCTAAAGAGAATTTAACTCTTTAATTTAACATCTAAAGAGAATTTTAAGTTTTCATGGTCTAATTATTCACTGCTAACTGATTTCTAAGTTTTTAACTGGGATTTTTTTTTTTACTGGGAGGAAAATGCCAGCCAGAGGACATATTCACCTTCAAAAGCCTGCTCTATGCAGTGATGCCCAATCACCTGCCTTAAGCTCAGTACCTGCTGTCTCATTTTCCAGAGAATGCCCTAGGGAGCATTTTCTGCTATTGCCCATCCTCTGCCCCTCACTTAGCTATGGCTGTAACCTATGACAGGAGTGATATTAAAATCAGCTGCGTCCCTACCTGGAGGACGATTGCCTAGCAACAGTGACACATGCATTGGTTACTTCCCGACTGGATTTCTGTAACACGCTCTACATGGGGCTGCCCTTGAAGACAGTCCGGATACTTCAGATGGTGCAAAATAGAGCAGCCAGGTTGCTGACAGGGACTGGGCGTTACTCTCATATAACCCCAGTCCTCTACCAACTTCACTGGTTTCCCATCGAAGTCTGGGCTCAATTCAAGGTGCTGGTTATCACCTATAAAGCCCTTAACGGCTTGGGACCTGGATACCTAAAGGAACGCCTTCTTCCATATTTGCCCTCCCGTCCCCTGAGCTCAACAGCAGAGGCCCTCCTCTGGGAACCCTCCGTGAAAGACATTAGGAGGCTAAGTACTCGGAGGAGGGCTTTCTCTGCGGTGGCACCCCACCTATGGAATGCACTCCCCAGAGAGGTCCGCCTGGTGCCGTCGTTATTTGTTTTTTGGCGCCAGGCTAAGACCTTTTTATTTAATATTTTAATAACTTTTAATATCATCTATAGGTTTTAATTTGCAGCCAGGGTGAATCTGGATTTTATTTGTATTATTTGTACTGTGTTTATTTATTTTATGTAAGCCGTCTCAAGGCTATGCGATGGGATGACATACAAACATTCTAAATAAATAAATAAAATATCTTGGGGCTGATATCATCAGCATTGTACACAAGCAGCCCAGTCTGAACTCCTACATCAACAGTACTGGCTGCTTTCACAAAGAAGATGGCAAGACCCCTCTGCATCTTGCCTGTGAGCTCCTGAGGGCAGAGACTGTCCTCATCCTCCTTGGGAATGGGGACTCTCCCCATGTAAAGGATGGCAAAGGGCTCACCCCACTGGATGTCATCCTGAAACACCTGCATCTTTATACCTCCAAGCTACGCAAACTATTCTCCAAACTCTCCCCCCCCCCGCCCCCCGAATTCCCTAAAAGCATCCAGGAACTTCCTGTACCTCAGGCACTTAAACCCCTTCCTTGCTCAGGTAAACAGCATCTGACAAAAATGTCACAGATGTTTTTCCATAATCCCTTTTTTAATGCCAAATTCAAATATAACTTGTTCAGGCAGGATTTTTAACGGTGCTTCAGGCTGCAGACCAAGCTTAGAGGGTGGCAACTGGGGGAGAGCCTTTTCTGTGGTGGCCCCCCATCTTTGGAACAGCCTTCCTGCAATGGCCTGCATAGTGCTAAATCTGACATTTTTTTGGTGCCAGATTAAGAAAGCCCTCTTTGTGGAGGCCTTTAAAGATCCTCCAGTCATCCAGGGGTCTCATGGGTTTATCTAGGTGCCTTTGTTCCTCCTTTCGGGCTGGGTCTTTTTCATTGTATTTAATATATTTTAATCAATTTTAGAATGTTTTATATGCTGTTTTATAAATTGCATTTTAGTTTTTTATCCTGTTGTAAACTGCTCAAAGAGCTTCAGCTACAGGTGGTATAGAAATGTAATTATTAATAATACTAAGTAGTAGCAGTAGCAGTTAGGACGGTGCCTAGAGAAGTGAGGAGTGTTGAGTTCATGGGAGAGCAAGAATGCTGAGTGTGCTTTGAGGAATGATGAAAAAAAGAAAAGGAATTCTGGGGCAGGGGACTATTGAGACACTGTCTCCTTCTAATTTCCCTTTTCACACTTTCTGTTTTAGTGCAGCTATTTTCACTGGACTTTCACCTTTTCCATATGCCTCCTTGGTCTGGGACTCTCCTCCTAAACAGTTTTCTTCTTTTCTCTGATGCCCTTTCAGAGGAATGCAAAATATTTTCTTTTTTCAGAAAGCATCTAGGACAGTGGCAGCGAAACTATGGCACACATGTCACAGAGGGCATGCAGAGCTCTCTCTGTCAGCACGTGAATAAAGTTGCCCAAGCATCGCCCCAGCAGCTGAGCATTGAATGACAGTGCACATAGGGGCCATGTGCATGCTCGGACAGGAGTAGCGGCACCAAGCAATGACGTCACAAGCCGTGACTTAACAGCCACGACTCGTCCAAGCTTTCGCATGGCCGGTCAGTGCGCTGCCAAGAATGTATATATATTTGCTTGGAGTTGTTTGTTTTTTCTAAATTAATACCTCAGTTTTCAGGATTTATTGTAGTGTAGGCACTTTGCGATAAATAAGTGGGTTTTGGGTTGCAGTTTAGGCACTCGGGTCTCTAAAAGGTTCACCATCACTGGGTTAGGCTTAGAAAAATGAGGTGTCCTGGCATGATTTTGACGGTTGGAATGTGCTTAGAATGGGCAGAAATGTTGAGCAGTGCAGAAAAAGCTGCTCAAAGAAGGCTTTTTCAAAGTTGTCCTATTTTCCACGGAACTTTAGCCCTATATTAGGGTTATTGGTATGCACCAGTGTAGGGTTAGGCCAATGGTGGCAAACCCATGGCACGCATGCCACAGCGAGCAAGCAGAGCCCTCTCTGTCAGAATGAGAGCCATGTCACCCGAGCATCACCCCAGCAGCCGAGCATCAGATAACAGTGCACACAGGGGCCATGCGCATGCTCAGAAAGGAGTAGTAGCGCCAGGCAATAATACACGCCGTGACTCATTAGCCGCAACTTGTCCGAGCTTTCGCATGGCCAGTTGGTGCGCTGCCATATATATATTTGCTTGGACTGGCTGTGAGTTGTTGTTTTTTCTAAACTAAAACCTCAGTTTTCAGGTTTTATTGCAGTGTTGGCACTTTGCAATAAATAAGCGGGTTTTGGGTTGCCGTTAGGGCACTCGGTCTCTAAAAGGTTCACCATCACTGATCTAGGATGACTGCTAATTCTATGTTTTATTCTATGTGCTTTCAAGGTATTGATGCTCATTTTTCAGGTTTCTTTCATGATATAATTTAGTTTATTGATGGCTTTTCAAAGGTTCTTTTTAAACATGTATTAAATGCTGTAAAATATATGTAATAAGTAATTGTATGTATATTATTATTATTATTATTATTATTATTATTATTATTATTATTATAACATTTCTATGCCGCCCCTTGCCGAAACCTCGGGGCGGCTTACAACATGATAAAATACATTGAAATACAATAGTACATAATAAATTACCATTAAATATAACAATACAAAAAATACATTGATTTACAAATACAAAATTAAAATTATCAGTATAAAATAAAAATATAGGAGGAGAAAGAGAAGGAAGAAGAAGTTGCCCAGGCCAGATCATATGTTTTAACAATTGAAATGATGTTTAAATAAAAAGGTCTTTACCTGGCGCCGAAAAACCAGTAACCTATGTAATTAAACAGCAAAACCCTCACTTGCCTAACACTGCTCCAACTGAAGTTAATGTCCAGAGTGTTTGTTAGAGGCTTCCATGTGCAATGATGACCACCTAGCCACAAAAGTAAATTGCTTCACCCCAGCACTGATTTTGATAAAACGATAATATGTATTAACATTTCATATTGTAAAACAGAAATCAAATCTTAAATTACCTCATAATCTTCTTGGCTCAGTGGTAATGTGGACCTAGAGAAAGAGAAGGACTTGTGAAATATAAAATTAATGGCTGCCCCCCCTTTAGAACGGGCTTCCTAAAGAGGTTCACCTGGAGCTGCCACTACTTTTGTTTCGCTGCTAGGCAAAAACTGTCCTCTTTTGAAGATATTTCGAGAGCTGATTTTAACACCTGATTATAGAGCTCACTCTGCTCCGGCAGATTTCCTTCCTCTCCTCACCCTGTACTTGTAATCTTTAAATAAATAAATAAATTGTAATTAATGTATTTTTATGTTGTCAGCTGCTTATGTATTTTTATGTTGTGATCCTTGTTGGGTAATTCAGCAGCATATACATTTGAAAAATAAATGTAAATATACATACCAATCTAGTCTGCACATGGGTCCAGCTCTAAGTGTATAATATCATTAAAAAAAACAGAGAACTGCTCTTCTTTTTTCACTTGCTAGCACTGCCGTAGCTTTGTTTCCATATGCTCATCACTACAAACCTATACAATTCTGTGCAGGACACTGCATTGTGCCTTTTGGCCGTGGTTTGTGAAAACTTACCTGCAGTTGCACAATACTTTGCTCATACTTGTAGACACAAGCAAGTATAGTATTTCCCACAAAACCCCTCACATTTAATGGAAATTTCTCTTCTGCATAGTTTTAATGGCTACTGTTTGTGTCAGATGGCAAGTTTAAAGAGGCAATATTTGGAAACCTACTCATTTTATTGCATTACTTATTGTGAACCTCCCAGAGAGCTTTGAATATTGGGTGGTATAGTAATATAATACCAATACTAGGCATGTATATTTGGTAACTTTCCAACCAGTAAAAGTAGTTGCCTTCACTAGAATAATACACTCTATTTGCAGATTAATTAAAACAGAAATATCATAGTTTCCAAACTTGTTCACTTACTGTATGAACTGAAGTCCCTTCTCTATCTCCTCTTTTCTTTTTTGTCTCTCCATCACAATCACTGCAGTGGGGAAAAGATACATAAATCTTTACAGTTTGCATGAGCCAGTTAACCTGCTGAGATTTAATTCTAGCTGCAGCAGATACAATTTAGGTTTCTTTCCCAGAGCACATTACTCTTCCCCTTCCTCTTCCCCTTCCTCTTCAAAATGGTTGTGATGGCAACAATCCACCAACTTATAGAATCATAGAATAGTAAAACTGGAAGGAACCAAGAAGGCCATAGGGTCCAACCCCCTGCTGGTACAGGACACCAAATTACCCCATCCCATTCAGATGACTGTCCAGTTTCATCTTGAATGCTCCCAAGTGTGAGAGAGCCCATGACCTCCCTAAACAACTGATAGGAAATTTTTCCTGATATCCTGCCTGATTCTGGTTTGCTGCAACTTATTATTCATTATTCTGTGTCCTACACTTTGAGATGGGCAAAAAGAGATCATTTCCGTCCTCTCTGTGACAGCCTTTCAGGAACTTGTGCTATCATATCCTCCCTCAGGCTTAACCCTGAGGCACTCCACTTGTTACTTCTCTCCAGTTTAAGAAGGTGCCATTGATGAACACTCTTAGAGTCTGATTTTGTAGCCAGTTGTGGATCCACTAATAGTTTGCTAGTTTATCAGGATGTTGTGGAACACAATGTCGAAAGCTTTGCTAAAGTTAAGATAGAGTATGTCCACAGCATCCCCACAGTTTATTTGGGAGGTTACCCAGCCAAAAAATGAAATTAGATTACTCTGCCAGTATTTATTCTTAAGAAATCCATGCTGGCTTCTATTAATCACTGTGTGATACAGATGAAAAGCCTTAAGCATTTAGCAAAAAGTAAAGTCTCTTTAATTATATTTCTCAAACTGTAATTCTGGACCAGGTCACAAATTGCCAGGATTATATGCATGGGCTGCTTCTAGTCTGCCTAGAACAACATATGTTTCTAACAGTTTAGTGTAATGTATGGGCACCACGCTCAGTTAATCTATAGTAGTGAAGTACCAGGGAAGATCCTCCTCACTTTCTTGCATTCACTCTTGGAGACTACAGATGGTTTTAGAGGGAGTTAACATTCAGGAAGAGATTATTGTGCTTCCTTTACAAAGGATGAACTGAAATAAATGTGCAATCCTGGTTTCTCAGACTATTTAGCACATGGGTTAGCATGTCACTTTTAATCAACAACCCATGGTGGGCTTATTCATGAGTTGTTAAGTGTGACATGCTAACCCAGAATGCTAGATTATTTAAGGACCAAACCACTCAACAGTTAACTCAACAACAAATCAAGTGTTAGCTACTGGGCTATTTAACTCCTAAACAACTCAGCACTCTGGATTCACACATCAAGGTCAACAACCTTATGAATGAGCTGTTGGGTAAAAGCAGAAGTGGTGGGGACTAAGGAAAGCAGCAAGTTCTCTCTGCTCTGCTCAAACCATGACACCCCTATGTGTTTAACCTATGCACAAATTAGATCAATAGCTTCCAATTAGCTCCAAGAAGCAACAGACCAAAAAAAGAAGCTTGACAGCAGCATTCTACACCACCCCAATACAACTTTATGCACTACACAGTGCAGTGGTAAACTCCTGAAGTCATAAAATCCAGGATGAAGACTATGAAATCTCCACTACCTTGGAAGAGCCTCAACTGATGGATTAACTTTCTAGCCTCAATGAGCATCAAGTTCAATGTGCCATAAAATCACAGACGAGTTGGAAGAAGCCAGAGGGCCATCAGGTCCATCCCCCTGCTCAGTGCAGGACTCCAAGTTAAATCATTCCTCTCAGATGGATGTCCAGTTGCATCTTGAATGCCTTTAGTGTGGGAGAGCCCACAACCTCCCTAGGTAATTGGTTCCATTGTCATACTGCTCTAACAGTCAGCAAGTTTTTGCTTATGCTCAGCTGGAACCTGGCTTCCTTTAACTTGAGCCTGGTATTGTATGCCCTGCTCTCTGGGATGATTAAGAATAGATCCTGGTCTTCCTCTTTGTGACAACCTTTCAAGTACTTTAAATGTGCTATCTTCTTTCCCCTCAATCTTCTCTTCTCAAGGTTAAACATACCCAGTTTTTTCAATTACTAACTCGTACTCTAATCTCCCCTTGCCTCAAGAAAAACTGCCCACTTTTTTCCTTTGCTATCATGAAAGCTAACTTTAAACAGCCGAAGGTAATGTCCACTTCTAATTATTTTTAAATAAACACAGATGAAAGTAGTTACTCATGTCCAGCTATATGAAAAATGAACACTAGAAAAGTAATCAAAATGCCAGTTTTGGAAACTGTCTGCCTATTTACACCAGTTGCTGGGACACTTGGGCAGGAAGGTGCTGTTGCACTCATATTCGACATGTGCGATCCTGCAGGCAGCTGGCTTACCACTGTGTGAACAGATTGCTGGCACATTGGTCTGCTCCAGCATGGCTGATATTGCCAGGTCTCAGGCAACTTTTCACACATCATTTCCTTTTACCTTTCCTGTTAACCTTTTCACTTTTACACATCCAAGTGCCCATGCTTTTAGAAAACAAACAAGGCAGTCCTTGATTTCCAGGATACAGAAAATATGATGACAATGCAAATTCCTAGACCTCCTGAGTGTAGGTTAGATGTTTACAGTTTGGAATATGTATACCAGAAGGGAGAATGTAAATTGTTTATGGGAACATCACTGGAAGCATAAAGATGAAACCAAACTGCAACACCAGTCTGGAAGAAAAATTAAGAGCATGAAAATAATGTTATGATTCAGTGAGATATCCTAACAAATCAGATTACAAATAGAGAATAGCAAAATTTATTCTCAATTAACCTTAATTGTGCTAGGCAAACTGGAAGGATTTTTCAGTTGTTCAAATACTTTGAAAGATACATTGAACTTGCAAACTTAGGAATCCAAATTGAGAGGGAAAGGATATTTTAAAGACGCTGATTATGTTATTCACTACAACCAAAACATGATTACAAAAAGGGATATTTAACCCAGAAAAATAAAATCCAACTGAGAATCAGCAGAAGCCTCAAAATGTACAATACAAATTAGCCTACAGACCAAAAACACTGGCATCATTGTCAACATGATGGATTTATGCAAACTGATTTACCTGACAAACTATATGAACAGGTTTTACATACTGGTCTCTTAATTTTCTCAGCCAACACCTCACACAAAGCTATAAACAATATATATATATGAACATCAGCCAACAAATAATAATCCTGTCAATCCAGAAAAATTTCTAAATGTTATAATAAGGAATCTAAGGATTCCATGTATTTTATTTATTTACAATAAAATATAATATACAACATTTTGCCCACATATATGCCACCAATAATTTACAGGAACCTCAGAACAAGCATCAAAATAAGCTGATGGTGTAATCTGGAAAAGCAGTTTTGTCAAGGCCTTTCTCAGCAGAGTAAAACTTCAATAGACTATCTCTTTTAACTTAAACTTTAAAATGTAATGGTTTTGCTTGTTTAAAAATAAAAAGCCTTTGTTTATGCCATTTTTGCACGCCTCTTTAGTGCTTTTAGATAACTCACTTTGGGCAACACTGTGCTGTACCAAATACTTTACAAAGGGTTATTTTTAAAAATCCAGGTTGCTTTTTTACTAGGTGCTAGGTGAATACAATATATAAATTATATATAAACAATTATAGAAAATAACTTAGATACACTGGAGGAATCCCTGTTCATCACACTTGTTTATTAGATTTATGTCCTGACTTTCTTTCTTACAAAGAACTCAAAGTGGCTTACATAATACTTCTCCTGCTCTCAGTCTTATCCCCACAACAACCACTTCGGGTAAACAGGTGCTGCAATATTAGAGAGTGCCTGTGGACACCCTAAAACCAATCTTTAGGGGTACGGGAAGCAACAAGAAAATTTGTCATTCTTTTGCTGATGCTGCACAATTATCAGTATTCTATGTGCATCAAGGAATCATTTCCATTCAACAAGGTTTGATCAGAATACAGGTAGTGGTTTTTTACAACCACACATACTTATTTTCAAGTCAGGCTTGCTTATTTCATGTGGTTAATGGACCCTCAATTTCCAAGCAGGCAATTCACCTGAGTCGTCATGCACATGTACTATCTTTTCTCCTGCATATGTAGGATCTCAGCTCTGGCCATTAGGCTTACCAACCTGGACACCGTGGGACCTGACATATATTTTGCAATGTATTAACTAATAGGCAACAACCACTTATTGAATTAGAAATCCAGAAAATGATTTGGAAGAGTAACAGATCTTAGTGAGAAGACTGGATAATCAAACCTGACTTTTAATGTATCCTGTCAAAATGTAAGTCAGAGAGAAAAAATGTTCAGGCTGTTCAGCATCTGAAAAGCACACTAAAAACTTATCAGATTTATTTTTCATGATAATTGTAAATAATTGACATACTCTGCATGCCATTTTCTTCAATCTGGTGTACAAGTTACAAAGGGAGGGGGGCACAAGACACTTATTCTATAATTTATATTTTGAGATGGGTATAACCATGGTAAAACCCCTTAATATATGGACAGAGTTCTATTTGCCTTTTGTTAATTTTTGCCATTAGGTTTTCAAGTCTATTAACTCAGCACATCATTTTTGCAAAGCAGGAATAGCCCAAATTCAAATAACTCACAGGGTGTTCAGAAGTGCCTTTAGAGCCACATATGGGCTACAAATTAAATGTTATTTTAGGGTATTAGAGCCTATCAGTTTGCACAACTTTGCAATTAACTTTTAAAATTCAAATGTCCATTTTGAAACAAGTTAACAATATAAACTACTTCCAGAACTGGCATGGAATACATAAAAAAGAGTGAGGAGAAGAGGGCAGAACCTGACTTGCATAACCCTTTTTTAAATGCAATATTTTAAAGACTTAAAGGGGAATAAATCAGTCCATCTGCATTGCCTTTATGGTGGTGAAGGCCTCTGAAGTGTCTGTAGGCACTTATGTCCCTACGGACACCCTCTTTTTGCACATACCAAGCTCCCTGCCTCTCCTCTAAAAATTGCTTAAAATAAAAAATTAAATTAAATGTGGAAGCTGGCATGCTGTAGGTCAAGTGTTGCCTCCAGCATCATCTTTCTGGGGTTCAAAAGAGCAGTCTTGTGTTTTGGAGCCTAGACTTCACCTCTGCTTTTATTTAAGTTCTTTTAGTCTTACCAGTTTGTCTTCTGGAAAATGTTGGACTCAGTCAGTTTTTTGACTGGCAATACCAAACATGGCCGCTATTATATGAATGGGGAAGCCTCCCACCAAATGTCAGTCATTTTGTGAGGAAATTCATGGCACCCAATCAAAATTCCAAATGAGCCCACTTACCCAGGGAGGTTGTAAACCCCTTTCAGAACCAGGGAGGGAACACTCCCTAACTTTCCTTTTTCTGAAAACACAAACTAGCCATCATTACATCATCATTTCTTATATCTGATCATTAACCTAATATGGATTTCAGTACAAATCCTAATTACTATTACTATTGTCTGTCCCTGTCAACTCTTTCTGCTATTTTACATTACCACAAAAGTGGGCAGAAGGTAGATATCCAGAAGTTTTGGACTTAAATTCCTTGCATTCCTGACCATTGACCTTGCTAGCAGGGGCTTCTGGAAGCTGAAATCCAAACATCTAGAAATCAATCTTCCTTCTACCACTGTTTTACCCTACAGGCCCTACTGATACATCACAGTGCCATTTCTGCACCGCAGTCTATCCATATGACCCTCAAGGATACCTACAAAACTTAATCCTATACCAAAACTGTACCCACAAATCTCAGATGTTCTGTAATTGCTGCCATCAGAACCTACCATATTGTTTCTCAATTTCTAGAAGAATCAGGAGCAAATTCATTTTATTAATCTACTACAAGCCCAAATATGTTATACTAAAAAATAAGAATGCTGAGTAAACATTTAACACTGTGATTAGAAGATGTCCTAGAAGCTTTTTCAAAATAGAAGAAGAAAACAAAGAGGAATTCTCACTTATTATGATAGCTTCAGATCCCACAGTTTCACACACACTTCTGAACATTTGAATAATGCAAACCTTTTATCATCCCACCCAACTTTCTTCTGGTTACAGGGTAAGGAGGCTTTCTCCAGAAATTGTGCAAATAGATTGTCAAAAACACAACAGTTTGTTGCATTCACACGTATTGCACTATCTTGTTTTGAGTATATAAACATATGCAGATTAGCTGCAGCCATCCAGCTTATCTGTTAACAGCATAGCCAAGAACTGCAGACCCTAATTTAGGATTACTTGGTTAGACACTCATTCATCTTCCATCTCCCCCAAATATGCACTCTGCAGGAATGGGGGATGGGGCAGATTCCCAGCAGCCTTTAGTAAGAACTTTCCATTCCATTCACCACTCTTTTAGTTAATTCTGCTTTAGCAATCATATTAATGCAACAGGCGGATAACAGAGTAGTAACCCTTTGTATGGGGATTGTAACCTGTTTAAGCGTACTGACGGTGGTTTCCGTCTTGTTCAATGCCCATATTTTCCTGCTCCTTCAAATAATTATCCTTCCCTTGCCCAGCATTAACAACCCTAAAAGATCAAATGTTCATTTAAATTTCATTGGCGCAAAATCGAGCCTGTTCCCACTTGTCCAAGGCCTCCAATCCCCGGACTCGCTTAGCAAGGACAACCGGCATTAGATATGTCTCGATCGCGGAAATGGAGAGAAAAGGGCCGTCTTCCTGTGGAAGCCATACTCTTCCTATATTAATTTCAGCTTGGCGCTGCTAAACTCACAATATACTGTTTCGGGTTGGTTCCAGGCTGAAATACACCCCCCCACACACAAACACACACACAAAACCTTACTTTTTTAAAAAATGGAAATACTTCCATCCTGCTAAACAGGTAACTTTTACAAGTCAGATTATAAAATGCCAGACAGGCAGCGACCAAACCTTTCTTAGCAAAGTCCCCCTCATCCGAGAACAGCAAATATTTTCCATTACAACTGCATATAGTTAGTACTTGTAACAAAAACAAAACAACAAAGACAGCTAAAATACTAGAACCACAGACGCCGAACCAAAATAGTGGGAAGTCCCATCACTTCACATTTCTCTGATCGCCATTCTCCGCCAAATCCAAACTCCTACAACAGCCTCTCGATCCCTACCTCAAATGGGGTGGGAGGCATGGGGTAGGAAGAATGTTCTTCTAAGAATTTGCTTCAAACTATTGTACATTTAAGGGAATAAGCCATTTCCGGGACATTCATATCATATTCGTTTCTAGTGGAAGGGATTAAGGAATACCTGCAGCTAATAATACTTCCATTGCTCTTCTGCCAAGAACACAGATTATTGCTTCGGGGAGGTTTTCTTCCACCCCTGACCCTTCTTCCTGCTTTTCTTCCTTCCCAGAAAAATAAAATAAACTCACCTTCTCTGCTTGAATATTCCCTTACACTATGATCACCTCGCCTTGATAAATGGTATAATATTATTAGGGATATTATTAGAGCATTATTACTGTTAGTAATAATACCAATAATTGCTATTTAATTACAGAAGGCAGCATTCTGTTCCTACAGCAGCTACTACTGCTGCCCCTGCAGCTCCTTCCATGTGCCTCTTGGTCTTTTTTACTTTCATTTCCAGGTCTCTCTAGCTCAGCCTCACTCGCCAGGCAAAACGCTTCCTTGGGATCCCTCCAGGTCCTAAGGACCACCCTCTCCCCTCCCCCACCACACACAAGCACACGAGTAGCTGCATAACAAAAGGTACAATCCATGTGCTCCCTGCCTTTCCTCTGGAACGACAGGAACTTCTCATTAAGTCTTCAATGTTTGAGCTTCTAGAATTTTAGCTGTCTTGTTTGTTACAAGTACTGACTATATGCAGTTGTAGTGAAAAATCTTTGCAGCTCAAGATTAGTCAGTTTTCTCATTCAAGACAGAGCTGTATTCCTATATACCAGCCTTCCCCAAACTGGTACCCCCTGAATATTTTGGTCTTCAACTCCCAATCAGCACAACCAATTGTTAGGAATGGGGGTAATTGTAGTCCAAAACTTCCGGAAGGCACAAGTTCGGAACAATTGCTATATAATTATTTATAACCTTTTTTCCTGCAAGGAATCCAAGGCAGTGCACATAAGCCTCTTTCTCTATTTTATCCTCACAACAGTTCTGTTAGGTAGGGTTGACAGTCAGTGAATCACTACACAATTGAGTAATTCCCATTGAACTCCTTAGGACTTTTGAGAATGAAGAAGTCCAATAGAGTACAGTGAGTCTTACTACCAGATAAGCATATACAGAATGCATTTATTTCAAAGATGTCTATGTTACCCTTCAAGGCAAATCCCCTTCCAAGATGATGTACATTAAAGGAGGAGAGTGCAAAAGTTGGCTTGAAACTCAACATTAAAAAAACTAAGATCAAGCATCCAGTCCTCTCACTTCCTGGAAAATAGATGGGGAAGAAGTGGGGGTAGTGACAGATTTTATTTTCCTGGGCTCCAAGATCACCACAGATGGGGACTGCAGCCAAGAAATTAAAAGATGCTCCTGGGGAGGAAAGCTATGGCAAATCTAGACAGCATACTAAAAAGCAGAGACATCACCCTACCAACAAAAGTGCGTATAGTCAAGGCTATGGTTTTCCCAGTTGCAATGTATGGCTGTGAAAGCTAGACCATAAGGAAGGCTGAGCGCCGAAGAATTGAGGCCTTTACATTGTGGTGCTGGAGGAGACTCCTGTGAGTCCCTTGGACAGCAAGGTGATCAAACCGGTCAGTCCTAGAGGAGATCAACCCTGACTGCTCTTTAGAAGGCCAGATACTGAAGATGAAACTCAAATACTTTGGCCACCTAATGAAAAGGAAGGACTCCCTGGAGAAGAGCCTAATGCTGGGAACAATTGATGGCAAAAGAAGAAGGGGACAGCAGAGGATGAGGTGACTAGATGGAGGCACTGAAGCAGTCAGTGTGAGCTTAAGTGGACTCCGGGGTATGGTAGAGGACAGGAAATGTTGGAGGAATGTTGACCATGGGGTCACGATGGGTCAGACATGACTTCACAACAACAAATAGTACGTAATATATCGAACAAATGGGCCCTGCAATTACGTTTCGCAGTGTGGAGTGTTTATTCAGGTTCCACTGCTCCATTCCTTCTTCTACCCTTCTATAATATTCAGTCAGTCAACACTCTATGCCTACTGAATCTGCTATGTTCCTATAGGGCAGTTTTGGTTTTATCACTTACCATTTAGATTGTGGGATAATAGACAAGATGAACCTACTTGTGCCCAATTGTAGTGATGCTTAATTCTTTAATCTCTCCATTAATGTCTATGGGCAGCTTTCTCTTCCATCTCTGGGGACATTTAAAAATAGCTTAGAAAATGCTATAATGTGCTGGATATAGTGCTACCTTTAAATACAGTTTGGAAACTTAAACTGGTACAGGCAGCTGGCAGGATGCTGATGAGGGTCAAGAATTCAGGTAATCTGAACACCAGCCACAAGAGTTGCCTGCCCATTTCTGGACTTGCTGCTGAAAACCAATTGGTGTGTTCTAGGATTAGTTGTTACTGAAGTAAAGAGGCAATGAAGGGAAAGAGGGTCACATACACCTCCCTGCTCTAAGGTAGTGCAGCTCCTCCCACACCTTTATATAATGAAGGCAAACTTCTGCAGAATGGAACCTTTTTGTATCCATGAATGATGCCTGCACAATTTCAGAGATATATTACATAGGGCCCATCTAGGTAGAAAAAGGCTCCCTGCTGCAAAAGTTTCGAGAGGCAGAGTCCAGAACGGACTGTGCAACTGCAGGGAAGTATGAATAGCACTGTTGCTAATGTAAGAAAAAAGTATGAATAGCAATGCTGCTAACGTTGCAAGTGGATCAAAGCCAAATGGAAGTCTAGTGGCAGGCATACACAGGAGTGAAAGGAAATTCTGATGCTGCATAACACACTCACTTGGAACATGGTATGTGAGAATCAAGGCAAACTGGAAACTGTAAAGGAAAGAATGGGATGTTTAACCATTGCACACTTGGTATGAGTGAACTGAAATGGACTGGAATGGGACAAATGCAAAGTGCTTTTCTCAGAAGAAACAGAGTGGCTCCAGTACTGAGGCAAAATGTAGCCAGGCAGTAAGGGGCTATAATACTAACCAAATCATAATAAATATCAATGAGAATTCTTGGAAAACCTATGAACACAGCATTCTTTCAAGCCTATGCTATAGCAACAAATTCTGAAGAGGAAGAGATTGAAAACTTATGCAAGTGTCTGAGAGGACATTGTTAACACCCTGGAACACAAAAGTAGGAAAAAAAGTAGAATCCAATGCTGTAGGAGAATTTGGCCAATGAGTCAGAATTGAAACAGGAAACTAACTCATAGAATTCTGTGAAACCAACCATCTGTTTATTGCAAATATATATTTCAAGCAATCAACCAGACAACTGTACACAAAGACTACACAAATTGTAATAGAAGATGGAGCGAATTGTGGTAATGACCATGAACTCTTAATATTAAAATCAGTGTAAAGCTGAAAAAGAAGCAAAGGGCCAAAATACAATTTAAATAATATTGCAGAAGAATATAAAGATCACATAAAGAACATGTCTGCATTACTAAACTCAACTGATCGTGAACCAGAATAACTGTTGATCGAGGCCAGAGATATTCTTTGAGAAGAATGCAAAAAAGACAACTCCTGTAGCAACAAAGAAAAACAAGAAAAAGCCTAGATGGGTGACACAAGAAACACCTACAGTCACTAAGGACAGCCAAGAAGCACATGCAAAAGATGACAGAAATAGTGCAAATGCACTTTTCCATTCCCAAATGCAACTTTTCAGTGACTATCACATATGGATAAAAAGAACTATTTCAAGTCCAGTGCAAAAAAAGGGGGAGGGGGACAACAAAAGAGGAAAAACCAAGGACCTTTTCGAGAAGATCCTAGAAATCAAAGGGAAATTGAAGCTTGAACAGAGGAGCATACTTTCTATGACAAAATAAGCAGAAGTTGGAAAGTACATACAGTATAAATATAAGAAACAGATAAGAGGGTGACAGATGCCTTCAAAGAGGAGGCCTATGAGGAAGAACCTGCAATACAGCAAAGTGAAGTGAAGGCTGGTCTGAAAGCACTTGCAGGGAATAAAGTGCCTGGAATATACAGGGTACCAGTAGAACTTTTCCAAAGCTGCAGGGAATGGATTGGTCAAAAACCTAGCAAGAATATGACAACAAATATAAAAGAAAATCATGACCGATAAACTGTAAATGTTCAATATACATTTCAGTCTCCAGGAAAAAAGATGCAAAAGAGTGCGGCAACCACAAGGCCATTGCACTAATTTTCCATGCAAGCAAGGATGTCACAAGAAATTGTTTTTACCCAATATGGAGTGAGAAATGCCTGGATTCTGAGAAGGAAAAGACTCTCACGATCATAATGCAAATATGTTGGTTAATGGAGTGCACCAAAGAAATTCAGAAGAAGATCAGGACTACAGGAAAACTTTTGACTGTGTGACTCACAAGATGCTATGAATAGCTCTGAAATAAATGGATATACCTCAGCACTTGATTATCTTGATGCACACCCTGAATCATGGACAAGGAGCTGCTTTGAGGACAGAATGGTTTCCTACAGGCAAAGGCATTAGGCAAGGTGTATTCTTTCTCCCTATCTGTTTTATCTGTATGCAGAACATATCATAAAAAAAACTGGATTAAGATTAGAGAAAGGAGTGAAAATTGGTGGAAGAAACATCAATAATTTAAGATATGCAGATGATACCATGTTACTGGCAGACCATTAATTACTACAACAATTAACTGAAATTACTCCTGTTGAATGTGAAAGACAAAAGAGCAGGACTACAGCTAGTACTTAAAAATATGACTGAAGGAGAATTACACAACTTTAATATCAACTATGAAGAAACATTGCAAAAGATTTCACATACCTTGCTTCAGTCACCAATCAAATAGAAATAGCAGCCAAATAATTAGAAGATAGCTGAGATTTGGAAGAGCAGTGATGAAGGAACTAGAAAAGATCATCAAGCATAAGGATGTTTCACTGGAGGCCAAGGCCAAGATCATCCACACAATTGTACTCCCAATCATTATGTATAGCTGAACAGTGAATCAAGTTGACAGGAGAAAAATTGATGCATTCAATACATGGTGCTGGAGGGGAACTTAGTGAATATGCTGGACCTAAACAAACTTGCAAATAAGTGGGTCATAGATCAAATGAAGCTAGAATTTACCCTGTTAGCAAAGAATTTTGAAACTGAGGCTGTGGTATTTCAGGCACATCACTAGAGAAGACAAAATTACTAGGGAAAGTAGAAGTCAGAAGAAGAAAGGAAAGACCAAATATGAGATGAATCAGATGAATTGCATAAAGGCTTCCATCTTACCAGGATTCGGTTTCATTTTATTGATCCTTCTGCAGAGCAACACTGAGCCTAGGCACTGATACAGACGACTTGCACAGCCTTACCCAGCTCAGATGTCACTGGGAGACAGAGCTGTGTGTCAGCAGCATACTGATGGCACTTGTTTCCACATCCCCTAACCACT